GCAGCCAATTGGCGGCAGCTCATCCGGCCACAGTCGAGCCGTCCTGAGAACAGCTCATCAGACGGCCAGCGCGAGCGGGTCAGCCGCTCCCCACAGGCCTGCAGGGGCTCAACGGCATAGCAGCTGTTGACAGGCCCACCGTCCATCTGGGAGGCCCAGCCAGGGCAACGCACTCGCCATGTCGGCGTGCGAGGTTGACCTATACAACGACCCGACTCTCTATGACAAGTACGATGTCGTTGGTGAGCTGGGCGCCGGTTCGTTCGGCAAGGTGGTGCTGGTGTGGGAGAAGGGCAAAGGGCCGGCGGGCCGTCTGTTCGCGGCCAAGGTCCAGGACTTCTCGACCTGCTGGGAGGGTATCCCTGTCGAGGCGGTCCGCGACGTGGTGAGGTTGGGAGGCAGGGAGGGAGGGGTGGGTGGGCGTGTGATGTGTGGCGGGTGTGGATGTGTGTGTGGCTGTGAGTGATGCAGGCCATTCTGACTAAGATGAAGCACGAGAATGTGGCCAAGGTGTTCGAGGCCTGGGTGTCTGGCGAGGAGGGGCGGCTCTACATGGTCATGGAGTATGCCTCCGGCGGCGACCTCTTCAGGTTCCTCCGCCGCATGTTCCCACCGGTGAGCAAACCAGCAAACAGACCAAGGAAACCGACAGAGCCGACGGATGGACCCTCGTGTGTATGTGTGTACTCTGCTGTCATGCATTCGCGAATGCAGCGAAAGGTCAAAGTGGATCGGATTCTGCCGCCCGAGCAGGTCAAGCGCTATATGTTCCAGGTACCTGAGAGAGAGGCACACACAGCCATGGGATGCCCCCCCCTCTGCTGTGTGTGTTGGATTGGACAGCTGCTGTTGTCGTTGGCCCACGTTCACTCGCACGACATCGCCCATCGCGACCTCAAACCCGCTAACGTGCTGCTCAACAAGAGCACCACACCTGGACGGTATGCGACATTCCCCCCCGCCCAAACGCGTCAACCAAACCCACACACCACACACCCACACACACGTTTGTCCGTTTACGTGTCTGTGTCCGTTTACGTGTCTGTGTGGATGCAGTGAGAAGTTGTTGTTAACCGATCTCGGCCACGGCCGTCTCCTGGACAGCCTCGGCGCCCCGCCCGTCCGACACACCGTAAACACCGCACTGACCCAGCGGCACCATGTGTCAGCGACACGTGTGAATCCGTTGTCCCATTCATCAGAACCCGACTGAGTTGGGGACGCCATCGTACAGAGCGCCGGAGGTGGTGCTGGGGCAGCGGACACACGGGACGGCCGTGGACATCTGGGCTGCTGGTATGAGGGCGGGAGGAGGGACTTACACATGGCACCTGCGGGATGCTTATTGTGTGTCCAATTGTGTCTGTCTGTCTGTCTGTCTGTGTGCAGGCTGCATATTGGCTGAGATGCTCGGATGCCGTCGCTCGCCCTTCGATGTGAGTCAGCCACTAGCCGGCTCACCGAGCCATGCACACACACACAGCCACACACAGCCACACACACACAGACAGAGATAAGTGTGTGTGTGTCTGTGTGTATGTGTGTTAGTGTCCTGTGGGTTCTGACTACGGCTCTCTGATTAAGATGATCGATTTGCTGGGGCTGCCGCCGCACAGCAGACTGCGGGTGCTCAACCTGCCGCTGTATAACTCACACGTATGGACACACGAAACCAAAGCACCACACACACCACACACACGAGTCCGTCCGGCTGTGTGTCTGTGTGTCTGTGCAGTACCTCATCCTGCCGCGGATTCCGCAGCGGAGCAAGGCCGAGGTGCGCGCCAAGCTCCAGAAGACCCTGGCCGAGGGCGAGAACGGCGTGACCATCACTGACGAGGAGTTCGACTTCCTCTATGAGTAAGTCAGACCATCAGGCATCCTCCCTCCCTCCCTCCCTCCCTCCCATGGCTGCATTCCTCTGTCAACTGTGTGTGTCAGTCTGATTAGGTTTGACCCTGCTGAGCGTGTGACGGCGGCGGAGGCGGTCAACCACCCCTACTTTGACGACCTGGACAAACAGGTACCCAGCCAACCACACCACCAGAAGTGCACCTATCCCTCACACGCAGCCCTCTCCACCTCTCCTGGCCCATTCATTTGTGTGTGTCTGTGTGTGTGTGTTGGGTGCAGGAGTTTCAGCACTGGGCGGCTGACGTCGGCAGCCAGTTCATCCAGCCCTACACGCCGCACATCGAGGTGGAGCCGGTCTACGAGCCGCCCTCCATCGAGGCGGCCCACGCTCAGACACCTCCCCCTGCTACACCTCCCCCTGCTGCCATCGCTGCCGCTGCCGTAGTCCCTGCTCCTGCTGCTGTCCAAGAGCAGCCCCAGGACAACGGCCGCCGATACCACATGCGCCCCCGGCGCAATAAGAAGCGGGCGCCGCCGGGTGCTGTGGATGGCGGGGTGCAGCACGGCGAGGGCGGGGGTTTGGTGATGGCGGGCGAGGCCAAGAAGGGCCGTCTGCAGGCGGACAAGGGACAGGACGGTGGGGCTAATGAGGTGGAGAGGAAGCGCAAGAAGCGCAAGGTGGGCTAACTGCCCCTCGCGCACACAAACGATAGCAAAAGTGTGAGTAGCTGTCGTACACTGAGCTGGGCGGTGGGGGGGATGTAGAGGGGGAGGGGAGGGGAGGGGACAATGGCCGTGCGTGATGGATGGATGGACAAATGGATTGATGGATGGGCGAGACAGACAGACAGACGTGATGCATACAGACATGTACCTGGTGTGAATGAATGGGACCGACCGATCCACGGGCCGGCCAAGAGGCAATCAAACAAACAGGGGCAATGACACCTGAAAGGGTGCACGCGTGACGGTCGCCACTGAGAATTCAGGAGACAGGCGAGGCGATGCAAGGCTGACAGCACTCAGGCAGGCACTAGAAACCAATCCTCACTGACGCACCCATCCATTTCATTGCACACGCACACGCATACGCATACCAGCGGCAGGAAGGAGTGCATGAGGGAGGGACGTCTACCCATCCATGAGCAGCTGCCACCGCCCCGCCCGTCCATGACAGCATAGGAGGACCGAGGGGGCCGTGGGTGGGTGCTGTCTGTCTGTCTGTCAGTCTGTCTGTCTGTTCATCCGCAGCTGTCCACCATGCTATCAGCTGCTCCCTCACGCAGCATCGCCCCGAGCACCCACCCCCGAGCCCTTTGCCGGTCGATGTCCTCACCTACGGGAAGCCATTCATCTGAGGGATGGTCACGTGCGGCGCTCGACAACCAGCCCGTCGCCATCGAAGCTGAGCTTGTACGGCCCGCCGCTGAAGTTGAGGGAGGCCTGCTCAGCCAGGAAACGCCGCTCGAAGTCGGTGCGCACGCCATTCTCGTCTTCAAATTCTACTATGGTCTTCTTGTGACCCTGTCATTAATTCCACCAAGAGGAGAGTGGGCACACACACACCACCCGGCAGCTGTCTGTGTGTGGTGTGTGTGCGGCGCACCTTGAGCTCGTTGCTGAATGAAGCCACCGAGGCCATCACGCGCAGGTAGAAGGTCTCCAATTCGTCATCCTCTACACCGCCTACAGCGAGTGGCGAGTGAACACAGACACCACACAGAGATGTCATGTGTGCTGGTTCTCCCATCCCCCCTCACCATGCACGTGGATCGTCACGTCCTCGATCGGCGGCAGCTTGTCGTTGGTGCGCCGCCCCCACAGACACGGGCTCTGGTGGTCGTCAGCGAATTCATTCGTCAGCGGATTCAGATCCACCGCGAGGCTCCTCTCCCTCCCCTTGCTGACCAGCGCCGCCTGCAGCCGCTCGAGAAACATCCACACGTCACCAGCCGGCGCGTTCAGCAACTGCCCGTCCCCATCTGATCCCTTGATGTGTGACAGGTTGGGCATGTGCGAGGCGATCTCGACTGCCCGCTCCTTCTTGGCCTCATCGTCGAGGGCAACGTTCAGCAGCAGCAGGGTGTGGGCGGCTGGGAATGTGTCGTCAGTGATGACTGCAGGGACGGCCTCGTCGAATCCCCTGTAGGCGACGATGTGGGCTGTCTTGGCGAGCTCGCCGACGAGCTTCTGGACAGTGGGGGTCCCGGTGCTGCTGCTGCGCGAGAGTATCTCGGCGTCGATCTGCCCATCCCTGTCACACTCACGCATAATTGGCTGTGACAGCGCCTCGGGATGCGCGACGGCGTCACTGCAGAGAAGCATCAAAAAGACGAGCACATCGGTATACGTCACGTGTACTTGGCCCTGTACTTGGCCCATTCCCCATCTGACGCGTTCTTACACGAGTTGTGCCGTGTTCTGCAGTCTGTTCCAGTAGCGTCTCCCAGTAGCTTGGTCTATCTCAAGCTCTCGAAGGGACCGGCTGACGCCCCTCGCCACCAGCACCTCACGCAGTCGGTCGATGTCGGCGGGGCTGCTATCCATCTCGACGCCGCGCAGTGTGCGAAGCGCTGCGAGCGACTTCCCGTCAGCGGGCAGCGCACTCAGCACACTGGCCGCATCGTCATCGTCCCACCGGAGCTCGAGCACCTCAATGGCCTCAAAGTCGCCCACCCATGCCCTCGCACCCTCCACCTCAGCTGAAAGGTCTCGAATGATGAGCGTCTTGACAGCGGGCGTCAGCCACTGGCGGCCCTCGCGAGCCGAAAGGCACACGCCGGGTATGTTGTCGACGGTCTTGAGTGCCGGCAGGTGGACGGGGGCGGAGGGGGCGGCGGGCAGGGCAGATGACGGGGGAGGGTAGGGGATGTCGTTGCGAATGCTGTCGTCGAGCTCGACCTCCTCGAATGACAGCACCTCCAATGTGCCCTCGTCGGCCGACCAGCTGCCATCATCATCTTGCTCTGCCGCGGCAGCAGCTGTCCCCTCCCCGCCCTCCCTCTCTCGTCGTTTCTTCTCTGCGATTTCCGCCCTGCCGACGGCGTGTCCCTCCACTAATGCCACCTAGGTGCCGCGACACCAAGCCCATCGCCACTCGGGGTAGCGGCGCCTGATCTCTCGCACGTTGGTCGCCCTCTTGCCCCATCTCTGCGCCACGGCCAGTGGCATGGTCCCCCACATGCGCCGCGCCTTGTCGTCCTTACAGTCTATGACCAGGTTGGTGTAGTTGGCGGCCGACTGATGGTAGAGGGTCGTGCCGAGGGGCCGGCAGTGGCGGGCCAGCTCCCATGGCTGCAGGTGGCCGAGCACGTTGGAGAGCTCATCGCGGGACAGACGGAGGCGAGCCTAAGGCCGATACATATGACACACGTGTGACTGAATGCAAAAGGGATGCTCGTGTGCGTCATCACTCACCGGTCCAATGTTGATGGGCAGCTGGCCACTCTCGTAGATCAAACGATAGGACCTCTCAGCAGGAGCAGCCTGAACCTCACACGCACACACCACATGCAGCAATCCTCTCTGCATAGAGCCCTCTGTGGTCGTGCAGGTGTACCTGTGGCTGCTCCTCTACGGTGTCTACTGGTGCCTCGGCGGGCGGCTCAGCGGCCGTCGCTATGAGGGCATCCACTGCAGTGGCCAGCAGGGGCTCCACTGTCGACAGCTGGGTGGCGGCAGCGTTGCACTGAGCAGTGAGGAGGGACAAGTGGACACGCAGCTCGCGAGTCGAGGCCTGCATGGACAGCCAGAAAGCAAAACGCATGATTCATCAGAGAGAGAGGGGCGAGGCGAAGATAAGGATTCACACCACTGTGTCGTTATTCGCAGGCTCCGTCCGCTGCTTGATCTGCGTGAGGTGTTCATTAACCTGAGAGAGAGGAAGCAGTGGCAGCGGTGAGCGAGTGAGACCATGTATGGCTGCTGTGTTTGGCTGAAATACCTTTGTCTGAAGTTGCATGAGGCGTTTCAGGCTCTCGCTCGCCAACTGAGCATCCTCCCGAAGCTGCCGCTGCTGCATCAAACGACCAGGCAACACACACAGCAGCCGAAAGGTGAAAGGCGCTGCGTGTGTTTTAACGCCTGCTTTCATCTTCCTCACCTCGTTTGCATCCATTCTGTTGACCGCCGTCAGGGATTAAGGCCCTCCGAGGCCCCTCCTAGGACGCAGAGGCGACGCCCTGCGATCGAATGACATCTGCCGCCTCTGCCGTCATCACACGAAGGTTTCCCAGCACGGTTGACCTCGTCTGACGCAAGATCTACGGCATTTGATGGAAAAAAACGAACGCCCTTTCCAGCTCGCAATTTTGAAGGTGGGTGAGGTGAAATAGCGATAATGTCGGAGCCTAAGAAGCGGAAGGGGCCGCCTGATGGTGACAGTGACGATCAGCTTCCCTTTCGGTCCACTCGGCCAGCCTTTGTCAGCGATGCGCTCCGCTCCATCGCTTGCCACTTCGACGACGCCGGACGGGCCCTCGCATTCAAGCAACAGGCCCTCGAAGAGATGCAGATCGCCAAACAGCGGCTGTTGAATGATACTGGCTGGCGGGAGGATGCCGCCGGCGACGCCAACCAGAAGCTGTACCTGTCAGTGGGCGGCACTCAGCGTGACGTTCCTCGCGGCTGGCTGACCAAGAAGGCCGACAGTCTGCTGGCGTTCATCTTCAGCGGCCATCTCGACGGGCGGCTGGTTCGCTGCACCGACGGATCCAATCGCATCTTCCTGGACCTTGACGGCGCTATCTTCGACAAGTTCCTGGACGCTCTGGCAACATTCGACGGCAGCAGCAGGGCGAGTCAGGCGCAGATCAGAGGTGAGCTCGGTGAGGCGTTCTTCTTCGATGCGCTGCTCAACAATCCCCTCCCCAACGTCACCCCCTCCCCCGGCCCCCCTCCCTCACACACGGACGCACCAGCTATGCCCCCTCAGATGCTCGAGGCCATGCCGTCAGGCGCCGCCATCATGGAAGACATCAAGTCGGTGTGTGTTGGGTACATGAAGGAGCATGCGGCCATTGACGCGCAGATCGATGACGTCAAGTGTACCATGCGGCAGCTAGAGGATCGCATGAAGCTGGCTGAGCCCTGGCTGCAGCCGTCGACGGGGGGCGGGGTGGGGGTGGTGAGTCTGAGTGTAGTCGGGATGACGCTTAGCACGACCACGGCCACTGTAGAGGCGTGTGGCGGAGACGACTCGCCATTCGCAAATCGCTTCAATGGGTGAGTACGGACACGACACATGCTAAGGGCAACACACGTGTGAACGCTTGTTTGCTCTTGCCTTAGGTCCTCGTTGGACGCCACCTCACCAGCGATTGTCCGCAAGGCCATCAATTTCGCCCGCCAACACCGCCTTGCACCCTCCCAATCCCTCGCCATCCCCACCTTACAGGGTTCATCGGCCAACGGCACGCTGGAGCTGCGCCGGACACTCGAGATGTTCGGTCTCATCGGGCCGCATGGGCACTGTGTGCAGCGCATCGCACCGTCAACTCATTTTGGAGGTCCGGGGATGGGGATGTTAGCGGGGCGGGCGGAGCTGAATAGGCTTGTGGGCTGGCTTGAGGAGGAATGGAACAAACCTGTAGAGGACATACGGTGCACATACAGGTACGCACGCGGATGTGGATAGGCGGAAGTACGCTGGCAACATGGATGTCTTTGTTCCTCAGTTGTTCGTCGGCAACCGCGTACGATGGCGCCGCCTTCCTGGCGAGCATCCCAGCACCCGAGGCGGAGAAGGGCTGGGTGAGTATGGCAGACGACAGCAATGCAAGCAGGTGGATACACTCGACACATGGTGCATTGCTGTGTCTGGATGTGCAGGTGTTCTTGTTGAAGAAGGGTCAGGAGGTGGTGGGTGCAGCCTGCCCCTTGGGGCTTAAAAAGGACACGAAATGGCTCCGTGCGGGGTACGTCATCATTTTGTGTGCAGCACGTGAGCACGTGAGCACGTGTGCACTCTTGTGTGTGTTGGCAATGAGCGCAGGTTGGCCACACCGCGTCAGAGGCGTCGCCGGCGGCGGGACGATGTTAGTAGTGAAGACGATTTTACTATCGTGGATGACGATTCCGATGAGGACGAGTTCCCTCCAACACCACCACGTGAGCCGATGGTCACAGGTACGAGCCAACGGTCTTCCAGAGGCATATTGGTTGTGGGTGTGGGTGGCTTGGGCCTGTGTCAGGAGAGCCCGGGGGGCTCCCGGAGGAGCTGATGAAGATCGAGAACGCGGATGAGTGTACCGACTACCACCGCTCTTCGCAGGAGCCGATTCCCTTCCTCTGCAAGCTGGCCGACCCCGACCACCCCGACACCGTCACAAAGACGACAGGAGACCGATCGAGGGTCGTCGTCAGCAAGAGGGAACCGATCCTCGGTGACCGAGCGTTGAAGATCAGTGTACTGTCTTTGGGAGAGAAGGCCTTCTTCCACGGTCTCTCTGTGCACCTGACGTTCCCCTTTTACCCTGGCGTTTGTGCATTCAGTCAGACAGAGAGACCTCTCTTAAGCGGTGCACCAGCCATCCAGGGGTGCAATCAGATTGTGCGTGGAGGGTGGGATTTGGTCGAGGTGTGGCAGGTGTCCTACATGGGGCAGAGAGCCACGACATAGCTATGTTTGGGGGGACGGGACGTACATTCATGATGGACAGACATGTCGCGGGTGTACAGTGATGATAATATTACTATCAATCAAAGGCACATGTGTTGTCTTCTCCAGTCTGCCAACCCCTCACACACAGGCCTTAGAGCGTCAGAAGCCTTCTCATACACACACATCAGCTCACAAAACGCCCCCGCTTCACTCACACACGGCTCATAAGTCACACCATCTGCCAGGCCCTGTGTCTCCGCCATGGCCGCGCCAGCCAGCCCAACCAGCGAAGGCTCACAGGGCACCATCACACTCCTGTTGAGAGCGGTGCTGAGTGTCTGGGCGAGAAGAGAAGAGTTGGCGCATCCCCCAACCACCACAACCGGCTGAGATGAAGACACATCCACAACCGATGGCATGTACTTCTCGAGGTGTCGAATCAGCCGGGCTGCCTGGAACGCCACGCCCTCGTGGACGGCGCGGCAGAGGTCGGCAGGCGAGGTCGATGCCGTCACCCCGATAAACGCGCCGGATGCATTTGGACCTGCCCACACAGACATCAAGAGATACCTCCACGGCATCCAAGCAGCGAAAATACCCATGGTTCCGCACTTACAGTTGTCAGGCGATCTCTCCCCCTTGAGGTGCGGCAACCAGAGCACGCCTCCGCCACCAACTCGACCCTCAGACGCCATAGCCTCCATCCCTTTCCCCACGCCGGCTCCGATCTGCAGGCCCTCCAGCCACTCAAAGTTGCCTCCAGCCGTCAGCATTGGCGCAGCAAGGACAACACGGGAGGGATCATAGTGATACGCCAACGTGAAGATCCCCTCAGTGGCCGCAGGTGGGGACGAGCCAGGGGGTAGCAGGGTGGCTGCCCAGCCAGATGTGCCGAGGTAGAGATAGGTGGGACAGACAGACGCCGGCTGTGTGTTGGAGGTGGGGGTGGGGGCGAAGGAGAGGGCGCCGTGGGTGATGGAGGCGACGTCTCCACCGGCGTGATAGACTTGAGCGCCTCGGATCCATTGCAGCACTCTGTCAGCGCCATCCACATTGGCGACACTCTTCCCTCCCACCGTCACAGCGCCAACCACCTCCCCTGCTGCCGCAATCCGAGGCAGCGCCTCAACCAACCCTTCAGCCACACCAGTCCTCAGCAGAACCTCCTTCGCCCACAAGGCTTCCCCTCCGGCGTCATTCTGCCCCCTCCACACCTTCTCCATCTCATGAACGCTCAGCAGTCCAGTAGTTGACGCGTTGGTCACGTCCGTCACGCACTCGCCCGTCAGCCAGTGGATGAGATAGTCGGCTGCGCCGAGCAGGACTTGTCGGCATTGTCTAGCTGCGTCGGGATGGTGCTTCATGACCCAGAGCAGCTTTGCGGGGAGGGACGATGGCCCCTTGAAGGATAGCAAGGTGGACGAAAGGTCAGGAGGGATGGATGCCGCCTCGTCGATGGCGCGGCTGTCGCTGTAGAGCAGGCAGGGAGCGATGGGGAGCAGGCCGAGAGCCGCATCTCCATCTGTGTGGCCGAGCATCATCACTGAACAGAGAGAGGAAAGGACACACACAATGAGTGCGCTCATGGCCCTGTTGGGTGTGCCTTGCTGACGTGTTTGCATGAGTCCGCTGACGCAGATCTTGGTCGGCTTGCAGTGCGGCTCTTGTGTCATGATGGCATCCAGCCCCTTGACGACCATCTCAGCCCAGCAGCTGGGGTCCACTTCGCCCTGCGCCATCTTTGTCCGGCACGATGGCGGATAGCGCTGCGTGCTCGTTGCGATGATGGACACTCTCGATGCCTAATCAGCAAGCAAACTGAGGGAGAAGGCAACTGCAAGGAGAGGGGGTCGCGCTGCTTACCTCGTCTGTGTTTATGAGTGCCACTTTCACGCTCGTCGAGCCAAGATCTACACACAGCATGATGAGCTCTGACGATGAGGATCAACCGCGGATCTGGAGGAGGAGCTTCTCGAGCTCGCGTCTGATCCGGGCCGAATTCAGAGCGTGAGAATAGCCGACAGGATGAGGGACAGGGACAGATCTCTAGAAGACGTCCGGGAGCCCGAGCGCGTCGAACCCGTCACCACCATCGTCCTCAACTGCTGCAACCTTGGTCAGCTGATGAGATGAGATCCACAGATTTGGATGGATGAGGACGCCCAGTGGTATGGTGTGTGTATGCGTCTGCCGGTCTGTGCGTCAGGTCGCGACTATGCCTTCTCCAAGTTGAGTGCGAGCCCTCCGCCTACGAATTTCGACTGGAACGGCGTGCGGAAGGCTTTGGAGTACTACGACAGCCGCAAGAAGAAGGCCAAGATCATGGGCATCGTCACCCACCGCATTCTCAGAGACCACCCTGTGAGGTGCCAGCCAGATACGATGGATGGATGGATGGATGTGTGAAAAGAATCTGTGTGTGTGTTGTTGTTGTGTTGTGCAGCTGCCGAAGGACCTGCTTCAGAGGAAGTTCATTCGTGCCGAGTGGAGCGACGCGCCGACGAGAGATCTGCCGGATGTGGACATGACGAGCACACTGAGGACTGGTGAGGCTCGGTGCGGGAAGACGCACAGAAAGAAATCCCTCTCGCTCACCGTGTGTTGTGTGTGATCAGCACAGGAGCACGACGCTCAATTCGTGTGCAACGACGAGTACCTCTGCTGGGAGGAAGACCCACCCAACGACATCAGGAAGTTCATCATTGGGTCAGCACGCCTCCACACAAACGCACCTCCACACACTCGTGTCGCTATACCGTTTGTTTGTGTGTGTGCTTGTGCTGCCGACATCTGTCTGATTCATGTCAGCAAGGGTGCGTCCCACCAGGTTCAGTATTTGTTTCTGCCGAGCGGTCACTTCATGCCCAGCCAAATCCCGTGGCCTGAGGGGCCGCCCAACCCGCCGCCACACCTGCCCAACAGAACCGCTAGAGGCGCACACACATACCGACAGGTGAGCAGGTGGGGTGGGTGGCAAGGGTGGTGGAGAGTGGATGGGTGTGTATGTGTGTGTTGTGTGTGTGTTGTGTGTGGTGCAGTGTTTCATGACGCGTGACCGTTTGTCGACCATGCTGCGCGATGCCCAAGTGAGCCTCAGCAAGGCCGACGAGGAGCAACTTCTGCAGAAACTCAACAACATAGAGGTGAGGCCACCCAGCCACAACCCCTCTACACACACACACACACACACACACATACACACACTGCTGGCACGAGTGTGCTGTGTGCTGTGCGTTGTATGGGTCAGATGGATTTGATGATCGACCCCAACACCGACCCCCGCCCGACGTTGTCCAAGAACGTGGCCGCCACCGTGTACGAGCGGGCCCTCGAGTCGGGCGTCGGTGATGTAGAACCGGTGGGTTCCTTCAACGCACCCAACACGACGCCACAGCACACCCCTTTGAATCTGTGTGTTATGTTCGTTGTGTGTGGCAGTTAGAGTGCGTGGCGTTTCTGCTGCACTCGCAGGCCATAGTGCAGCACATCTACATGGACGTAAGGACGGACGGATACACAGACATACATATATACGCGCAGCGAGGCAGCCGACAGGCCAAAGGAAGAAATGACGTGTGGTGTGGTATGGTCCGTGGTCTGCTGTGTGTGTGGTGTGCAGGTGTATGCGGAGGTGACAGTGCGGCTGGCGGAGTACTTCGACTCCAAAATGAGCTCCAAAAACTTCGCAAAGTATAGGCATTTAGGGAGGGTGGCTCACACGCAGCCATCCATCCATCCATGCATCCATCGGGCATGCACATATGTGTGGTGTGGTGTGTGTGGTCAGGTTGGTGGTGCGTCAGTGCGAGCAGTGTTTCGAGGAGGAGGGCATCAAGGGCGCCCTCTGCGTTAGCGGAATGAGTACACGCACACACACTGACCCACACACAACAGTACAGTACAATGCCACAGACACATCTTCTGTCTGTCTGTTCCTCTCTCTGATCAGACGACCGCAGCACCCCCACGTGTTTCAACTTCGTCCGACGCCTGCTCGGCACACTCAAACTGCTCGGTCGGGCCGGTGCACACACCACACACAACACATGACACGTGTCCGTCCAGTCCATGGTCACTCGTCATTTTCGTCGAATGCATTTCGTCTGTCGCTGCTGAATGAATGTGTTGATTCGTTCGTTCGTTCGTTCAGGTCGTCTGATAGCGAATGGTGTGTGTCAGCAGCCGTCCGTCGTCTTCGACATCGCCCGGAGCGTCCAGACCGTCGGAGGCGAAAACTGGAAGGCCGAATGGCACCTGGTCCGGGGGATGTGATGTGCACAGGCAGACAGACAGAGGATGCTCACACGGTGGTGGTGTGTTCTTCTAATTTGCAGGAGGGTTTGTGTGCGTTGCTGGCCTCCGTGACCTCCATGCTGGCCAAGGACGTACGCAGCGTACAACGACCCTCTTTATCTCGTGTGATTCAGCTGATGTGTGTATGTGTGTGTGGTGTGTGTTTCCCTTGGCAGCCTGTTCGCGTGAAGGATTTGGACGAGGTCTACAACAAGCTGACGCAGCTGAGCAACAGCATCGACAGGAAGCGCAAACAACACATCAAAGACCTCATCAAAGTCACTCACCGACACACACGCGCACCATGATCGATATGCATCTCTGTATGTGTGGGTGCAGGTCGTCCGCGACATCCGTGCCAGCTGCGCCAAGGCCACCCCCGCGCAGGCGTCCGATAGCCCAGGCGCCTCACCAGCTGCAGCGTCGTCAAGTGCGGCGCGTGTGCCCTCCCAGTGACTGACCGACCGAAGCGTCGCTATAGCATAGTGTAGTCGAATGAATGACTGTATGTAGAGAAGCCCGCCTAGGCCCGCCACACACTGACGGGTGGTTGGTGACCAGTGCTTTCCTGGGTGGCTATGTGTGTGAATAGGGGAGGGAGAGAGCGGCGCATGTGTGCGAGTGAGTGTGTACGGTCCTTCACGATGGCGTGTGAGTTTACGATTGGCGGAGTTTCTTTGCGCCAATCGTCATCGCAATGTTTTCAGGACTTCATAGCAATGTTTTTGGCCAGGCTCGCCCGTCGCCTCAGCCGCGGGCGCTGCTCGAAGACGCTCTTCTCTTTGCCCGCGCTGCTCGCAACCCCGCCGCACCTGTGCTTCGTCCCATCCCTGAGGACCTTCCGGCTCCTCCTCGGAGCCCTGCCCGTCCGGCCGCTCCCCGCCGTGCTCGCAACTCTCCTGTGCCGGTGCGTTTCCCCAGTGTCGACGCCAACCTCATCGCAGTGCTTGACAGAGGTGAGTGACCAACGACACAGACGATAACTCGTGACACAAAAATCATCTGTTTGCCTGTCTGGTGGAAACAGTGCCTGACGAGGAGTTTGCCGATGACGTGCCTCGGTGCCCGCTGACGCTCACCGTGCCGCGGACACCCGTGACCACACCGTCAGGTCACGCAACGAACACCAAACGCTCAAGCAAACGCTCATCTTCTTGTGATTGTCTTCTGTGATGCGCACCATTATGCAGGCAACTGCTACGACCTGTCCCCTCTTCGCAAGCACATCCGCACCAACGCTCCCTACGCCAAGTCGCCCATGACGCGACAGCTGCTGCGCGAAGAGGATCTGCGTCCGGACCGCTCCGCCCTGCACCACATCGAAAGATGCGCCAAGAAGGTAGCTGCCTGCCAGCATACACGCCCACACACACGGAACATCCGGACGGGCAAGTTTGTTTGTGTGTAGATTTGGGATGACCAGCAGGCGGCGATTCAGCAGGCCAGTGAGAGTGCATCGGCGGCGGCGGCGGCGGCGGCGTCCTCAAACGCACACGATGACAACGAGACTGACCAGACCAGCAATAGTACGCACGTACCAACAGATGCATCATGGACCTTTGTGTCATGGTGCTGTGGTGCTGTGCTGTGTTGTGTTGTGTTGTATCGTGTAGGCATGACTCTTGTGAAGGAGCTGTGGGGGCGCTACAAGCATAAGATCACCATGACACACAATGACCTGACACCGACACCCAAACTCATCGATGCGGTGAAAACACCATCACAGCACAACACAGCACAACACAACGCATGCCTCTGCGCGCCTCTCCGTCTGTGTGTATGCTGTTCAGTTCCTGACCGACAAGCACACAGACACAATGGATGTGCTCGAGTGGCACAAGGAGCAGATCAAGAAGCAGTCCAAGAAACACGTAAGGACCCCCACACACACCAACACCACATCACACCAATGTGTGTGTCCACTTGTATCAGCTCAAGGAGATTCATGACGTCGTGTCGCATTCTTTCGAGAAGGAGATGGTCGCGTGGCTCAATAGCTACAGTCGCACAACCCAGCAGGCCGGCTACACCAAACGACGATCCCTCACAGGCTTCCACCCCACACTCATCCGTGATGCTGTCTCGGCCATTCTCAAGGAGGCGCTCAAGTGACCACACCACCAACCCCCCACGACACAGACCCATCAAGTGAGCAACGGAGCGCACAAGGGAGGGATGTGGGTCATGCGCCTGCTGTGCTGCCATTCAGGTGTCGATGTATCATGTGGTCGTGAATTCAGTGGAAGTGGCTGGCACATGTCCTTCCATGTGTGTGTGTGGTGCATGCCATGGATGGGTGAGAGATTCCAAGAAAGAGAGACAGACAGAGAAACAGAAGAGACAGACAGCAATTCCGACAGACCGGAAAGCAGGCAGTAATTCACACATGCAGACACAGCACAGCCTGTGTGTGCCTTCTCTCGCCCTCCATGTACCGACAGACGTGTGTGTGTATGTCTGAATGCGTGTCTACATGTTTGTGTATGGCAGTGGACATCGCTTCCATGATGAAAGAGTACTTACGTCTGTCCAGTTCGTTCTCATGAATGCGGCAAGCCACTCAACATCAGCCTTCCATTTGTTTTGCACTTGGTCCAGCCTCCCACACAGCGACCCAGCCACCACGCAGCACGCACCTTGCCGGCGACACCGTCCCGTCTTCCTATCCTTCTACACCAGCGGCACATAGCGCTGGACAAACGCACACAAAGCAATGGCATGCAGCAAATGTCTGGCTGCACGCCGACTAGCTGTATGGCTCACCACTCCGAATATCTTTTTCTGTCTGGTGTGTCCGCTGGCGTCCTTGGTGACCTCATACAGGTCCTGCGGGCCTCCCTCTGGACCCAAAGGGATCATCATGGAAGTGTCTCATCCGCCCGCCATCGATATCCGATCCCTCAGACACACTCACCCTCAAAAAGGGCCGGTCGCCGATGCGTCGTTAGGGGTTAGCTGAGCACTTCAGCGCTCCCCCTGCCCACCTGCAATGGGAAAAAGCCTCCCAGCAGGATCGGCAAACCCTGCGAGCTTAGACGTCGCAAAGAGGGGCCTCACCGCCGAGTCTTCCCATCTGCAATCCCGAGATGGAGGGTCATGCGACTCATCGCAGGGGTTTGATTGCTGCCGCCTTTGCTGTCTGATAGCTTTGTCGCTGGTTCTCCGCCACCAGCTCATCTGGATGGACGTCAATCAGGTGAGTTCAGACACACGAGCACAGAAGAGAGAACTCACGCGGAGAAAGGGCGCCACCACGCTTTTGGTTTCTCTGCGTTCAGTTTGTTGCGAATGCCCGTTCCGTGAAGGACAGCCTGGTGCTGCTCCTCGACCAAGATCCCGCCACCGTCGCCGCACAGGTGGGTTGCACTGACTGGCTGAGTAAACATTGACGAGGAGCCGCTCACTGTGTCCTTGATTGATGCAGGCGTCGTCGCCCGAGGCATGGCTTGAATCATCAGCTGGGCTCGATAGCCCCACTGCTGAGCACCCTCACGACCCGGCTCCAGCAGGGAGGGCCCACCCTCACCAGTGCTGTAGTTGTAGATGCACCCACGTCGACCACAGAGGCCGCTGCTGCAACGGGAGCCGCACACACAGAGCCACGGGTGGGGAGAGTTGGGGTGCGTGGCCGTCCGTCCGTGGTCATCTGTGCAGGGATCCGCCCTCTGCGTTGCGGGTGTCGTGTTGTATTGTTGCATTGCAGGCGCCTGTGAACACTGGTGGCCCATCGTTTCGTCGCATCCATACCACCGGCAACCCTCCACCGGTCAACGTTAACCAAGGACCGGTAAGGGCCACGCACAAGAATGAGTGTGATGCAATCAGCTCATGGCGTGTTGCCGTCCTGTTGGTTGTCACTTCAGGCTCGTCGTCGTCTCTCGCGTGACGAATTGGCGAATGTGTTCGGCCACCTGCAGCCCTGGGAGCTGACGCGACACCGCCGGCCCCCTCGGCACGACCCTCGTCCATCAGTCGGCAGCCAACTACACCAAACTGGTCATCGACTGCAATAAGGGCGACAAGGCGCGGCCCATGTGGGAAGCCATTCCACTGGCCGTGGCGCACAGGTGGGGCAAGAGGGCGACCAACGTGCGAGAGATCAAGCACCGCCATCCTGAGATGCGATGGGCTTGGTGTCGCGGGACCTGGGTGGCCTTAGTGGAGGGACACACCATCGGCCGGGCGGCCATAGCAGACAAGAAACGACGAGAGACAGCTGCTGCCGCGGCAGCTCAAGATGATGATGGCAGCTGGTCGGCCGACGAGGGCACGTTGGAGGTGCTGTCCTTCGAGGCCGTCGAGCTCGGTTCCAGCATTCGCATCCCCTACCCTCCCCCCTCATCTGATCTGCCCGCCGCCCCCTCCGCCCCCGTCAACCTGCCCGCACTCAAGACCGTCGACAACATACCCAGCGAGTGCCTGGCTGCTCGCGTGGGGCGCCAGTGGCGGACACCTGCCGTGAAGACGCTCATCACTCGAGGCTATTTCAGTGCGTCAGAGGAGGCTGTGAAGGCGTGGGTGGTCGACTGTGAGGCCATTGAGGTGCTCGACCCCGCCATTTTGGGCGCCGCCGATGCGGCGGATGTGCTGAGTGCGCTGCCCGCTCACGGGAAGTCGCTCGGGTCACTTCGCACACTGCGAGGCGTCTGGATCGGTAGCAGCTCCGCCGACATCGACCGACTGCGTGAGGTGTTGGTGGCGAGGGGGGTCAAGCGGTGGATCAGCGAGCTCAAGATCGACATGGGTGGCCATCTGGGGAACACAGACGAGGAATGGGAGAGACTGCAGAAGACCGCACAGCTCGTGTGAGGACAGATAAGAAGGGAGAGGGGTTCAACCCCAGATGTGCTCGTCTTTTCGTGGTGCATTTCTGCAGTGACGCTGTGGCGCATCGTGAGGCGTTGTCGAGGCGCATTGTGGGCAACATCATTTGGCGTGGATCCATCGACCTGGAGCTCATCTCCCGCACCAGCAGCAGCGGCACTCCCCTTATGCAGCGGATCATTGACAACTACGCCAAGGGAGCCCACGTCGTCGCCTACAGCGGAGGTGACGAGGCCATCCCTGCAGCCATCACCGACGACTCATTCCCAGCCGCCCACACCCTGCAGCTGCTGGACGATGCCCTCGACGATGAGGCCAAGAAGGAGCGCGCCCTCAATATCGCCTCACACATGCCCAGCCTATCGTGTATCAAGACAGGAGACGGCGAGGTCGGGGAGGTGATGGACGCACCCGTCCGTGAGGTCTGGCGCTTTCTCGAGTGGCTGCAGGAGGCGCTGGTCAGCAAGGGGAGGGAGAGGAGCCTGACGCTGGAGATCGTCGTGTCGGCCGCCGACTTCACAGCACCCCTCAGCGGTGGCCGAAGCCCGGCGCTGTGGGGTCAGGGCAGTAACGCCAAACGGCCGCCGATCGAGAAAGTGTCCGTCTCTATTGATGGTGAGCGGTGACGGGAATAAGCAGGGACAGCCGTTGGCCGCGTCGTCGGTGCATGGCGATCATGTTTGTGCACTGTGTTCGTGTTCAATTTACCGCAGGCGATGTAGCGGATGACGAGTTGGAGAGATGGTACCAGCACGTGATGGCCTCGCTCAACTCATTCAACCACAAGCTCAAGGTGCGACGCGCACCACCCACACACACAGATGACTCACTGCCGGACAATGAATGACAGGGCCACAAGAGGACCACTGTGTGCTTTGAGGACGACGCCGTGCGCACCTACTTCGAGCAGCGTTTCCTGGCTGAGCTGGCCGGACTCAACCTCAATGGCGGCCCGTACGAGTTCAGCTTCTCCGATTTCTCGCTGGTTGTTGAGCGGCTGGACACATAGGTAAGACGCAAAGCGTTTGCACGCCGCCGAAGTGCCTTGAGCGTCTGTCAGCCTGTGTGTGCTGTACTGTGCTGCGTCAGGTCGGCACAGAAGCATGACACGACACCGGTAGCTGGCCGTTGATGGGCGGATGGATGGATGGAGGGATGGCTGCTGCCGTGAGTGAGCAGCTTGATGGCGTGTACAGGCGGTGGACAGACAGTTAGGCACCTAGATCGACGGCTGGATGGAGGGGTACTTTACTCAGCCATCGCTTATGCCCACCACGGCCAAGACATGACAGGGCGGTCGGTGATTCTGCATGTGTAGCTACTTGTTTCCTTGCTCGATGCGTGCGTGCATTGCTGTTGGTGTCCATGACCTACCTGCCGCCTCACTGTTGTGTGAATGAAAATGCATGCGTCTGTGCCTTCCCAAATCAAGGCGAGTCAGGGCCATGCAGGAAAGCGTGTTAGGTATTGCAATCCATTGGTCGTTAATGTACACACACTGCACGTCACCCTGGTCCCTCACACCTCTCACACCACACCAGTCAATCACCACATCGCCCCCTATCAATCACCTCCTCCCATGGTAGCTACCATCACGATACCCCCCATCCCTCTCCCACCCATCCCTCTGCCGATATCTCCGATCACGGTTACCGCGCAAATCGCGGTCAGGTGTGTGGCGGCGCCTGACGTCACGGTCTTGCACGGGCTGCCGACAGGGCGGCGGGGCATAAAGCTCAATCGGCTCCTCCTGAACAACCACAAGAGACAGACAGATGCATCCATAGAGGTGGATGGATGGCAGGCCTGATCTGTGTGTGTGTGTGTGTGTGTGTGTCTGTAGGTGATGAGTGCGACTGACCAGTCGTCGCAGCCGCTCTTCCTGGTCATCGCCTCCCCAGCTCGGGTGCTCATCAGGCCCGCCATAGTGAGAGCGGGTCTCCCGGTCCCGCGGCGCCCCTGCTGGCACATCCCTCCGGCCCCGTTCGCCCAGCTCAGGGTCGACCATGTCTCTTCCCGCTCTGCTCACGTTGGTGCGGGCCTCGTAGGTGTCCTCTGGTGGCCCGGGCTGATAGTCCTGCTGTGGATGGCGAACTTCATGCCGGCGTTCCGACGACCTGTGCGTATGTGCCGAGCGGGCCTCATTACTGCGGCGGGGAGGAGGGAGGAGGGGAGGGATTGGAGAGTAGGAGCTGGAGGGAGAGTCATCGCTGTCCTGGTTGGGGGGAGACTCGATGAGGCTGAGAGTGCGGTCGACCATGCCGAGCATGGCATTCAGCTTGTGGATTTGCTCAACAACAGCCGAGTTCTGCGGGCCCGATCTCAGGTTGCGCAACTGGTCCAATAGGAGCTCCCTGTGATACGCTGTCTCCAGTGGCTGACTATCCTGACGCGAGTGACGAGAGAAAGACGAGCCCGCACTGTCGCGCCTGCCGAGGACAGGTGGTGGGTCAGGACGGTGGATCGCAGGTGGGTCAAGCAGGGGGTTGGCGGGCCGCTCGCGATGGTCACTGCCACGGCTGGGGCGGGCATCACGATCGTCGTAGTAGTCACGGCTGCGCCGGTCTTGCTCGCGACGGTCCTCCACCCGACCACCTCCCATCCGATATTCGTCACCCGGCAGCTCACGGTTTCGATAACCAGCACGACGGCGATCCATCGGCTCGCGGGGCTGGTAGGGGGGGTCTCGGTCATAGCCCCTCTCCCTCACATCGTCCCGTCTGCTATTATCATGTCTGTCGTAGTCCCTCTCCCTCTCGTCTCGCCGCTCACGGTCCCGATCGCGATCGTGAGGCGACTCCCGCTGTCTCCTGCCATAGGCGCGGGTATCCTCGACTGGCCCCTGCTCCCTCCTCGCCTGCGCTCGTGTGTCCTCAGGTGGCATGTCACTCCGAGAAACGACGCTTCTCTCAGGCGACTCCCAGTCATGCCGTTGGCTGCCATGCGAGCGGAGGTAGAAGTGATCGTGGCGGTCGTTGAGACGCCTCCCGTCTGCAGGACCTGGCTCACGGTCACGCTCGGGTGCACGTCGAGTGGCCGTCGGTCCGGTGGGTTGAGTCAGCTGGGCAGCAGCTCCCCGCTCCGCGACGACGGATACCGACTCCAGCTCATCGGTGTTGACGGCAGACGGCGGCCCCCCTTGTCCCTGAGCTGGCGGCGACGGCCCTTGGAAGGGCATCTCCGGCATCTCTCCCAAGTCTCGCACCTCGGGCATATCTCGCACCATCTGTGGCGCCGGCTCTCGCCCCACCGCGGCATTCGAGTAGACCTCCCACACATCGTCAAGAGACTCGTAGTTGGCCGTGCATGGAGCGGCGGGGCCAGCTGTGGGCTGGTCTGGCGACACACTGAGATAGCCGGCCGGAGGCGACGCCGCCATGTCGAAAGACGAAGGGGCCGGCCTGGCCTCGGCTTTCGCCTTCGGCTGTGGAGACGGTGAGGAGTCCAAGCCGCTTCCACCTGCCGCCGCAGACACACCTGCTGCACGACCCTGCTGGCCCAGGCTGTGCCGAACGATTCGCCGGGCAGCAGCCTGGTCAACGCGAATAATGAGGGGCGGGGTAGCCCGGCTGGCAGAGGGGACTGCCTTGGGTGCAGGAGAAGGGCCATTGTCTGGCGCATCCTCAGACAATACCCGTGGCGGCAGGGGAGGCCTGCTGTTGCCGGGCGGCCCACGGGGGATGGGGGGACTTGGGGTCTGCTGCTCAAGAGAGAGGCGCTGCACCCTGTCGGAGAGGCGGTCACGCTCGAAGGCTGAACAGTAGGACCCAAACAGAGGGGCGGGAGAGCGCTCGGGCAGCTCTGATGTTAATTACCCCACACCAAGGAAGGCAAGCAATCCAAACCATCACCTAGGTGTGCGGCCAGCGTACCTTCATCAGGCTCGAACGCAGACATCGCCTCATCGTCGCGGATGCACTCAGACGGCGGGGGGCGAAAAGCGTTCGGGTTGTGCCGGTAGAAGTTCCTGTAGCGCTGCTTGAGCACCTTGAGCGAGTCACCGAAGAACACCCATGGGAACGACCGGAAGGTGTGCGAGCGATCTCCCGCCGTCGGCTCCGACGTGTCGCTGGTGGAGCGGGGGATGTTGGCATCGACTCTGTGGGGTCGTGGATGATACGCTGCGATGAATGCCGCCGATGCGCGGACCAGCATGCGCTCATTGGCCCGCTGCCGCTCCTCATCGCTGGCACCGATGTCGCCCCCGTCGTCGAAGAGTCGTCGCTTCGTTGCGTCCACCTCGGCCCGCAAGGCATACGAGAGCTGAGATTGAAGGCAGAGGAATGGTGTGGTGGACATGCAGTGGATTGAGGTACGTATTTGTGGGAGTTTGTGGCCATCTGACCTTGCTGGAGAGATCACGGTCCTTCTTTTGTCTGCCGTGGACGTGTGTGATGCACCCGGTGAGCAGCTGCGGACAGAGAGACAGGGCGTCAATATTGGTGTAGTGTACCTATTGTATCATGTGTTGTGTCGTGTTGTGTGGGGTAGGTACCTCGCTCTCTTCCGCGATGCCGTACTGCTGCATGAGGTGCACCACCTGACACAGACATGACACACAGACATTCACCAAGCAGAGATGATGATGGTCAGCAAGTGAGGCTCTCCATCCGTCCCGCATGCCTGCCTGCCTGCCTGCCTGGATGGATGGATGGATGCCCACCTTTTGCCTCCATCGGTTGCATTCCATGCGCATCTCATCCACATGGTCCATGGCGTCCTTGTGCAGCACGTCGGGGTCGACCACACCCGGCGGCATCGGCTCATTCTCCGGCCAACGCCACTCATCCGCGTCCGCATCCGCATCATCCTCCTGATCGCCCTCATCACCCCCACCTCCCAAAGCATCGGTCTGTGGCCTGTCAGGGCTCTCCGTGGCGGGCGGCGGCTGCTCGACTGTCTCGAAGAAGACGTCTCGCGGCATCCGCATCTGCGCCCCATCCACATACACCATGGGGGTGTCGTCATCGTCATGCTCCTGCCGGCCACTCATCCGGGCACGAACTCGGTTCTTCATCCAGCTGACGATTGCTGCTGCAGACGGCTGGTCTCGCCGCAGCAGGTAAGTCGCTGGGCCAGCACAAGCGGCGGCTGCTGGTGGGTCAGGTATGGTTATGTCGGGTGTGGGGGTGGTGGCGTCGCGCTGCTCGGGAGGGGATGACATGGCCTCCGACGTGTTGTCGCTGACGTCAGCGTCACCCATCCGCCCAGCAGAGTCGTCGGGGGTGCGTTGCGACAGGCTGTTGCTACTGGGAGCGCTCGAGACGTGGGAGGGTCGTTGGGTGCGCGTGGGCGGCCGCGGTGGAGGTCGGCGGCGTGTGAGGGGTGTGGGGCGCTTGACGTAGAAGTCGGTTACTTGGTAGAGCTCGCAGAAGAAGAGGGACGCCTGGAGGCTGGTGAATCGGACGTCGTATACGTGACGCTGGTCGCTGGCCTCTGGCTGGAACGGCGTGATGGCGGGACGCCTGATGGGCGCACACAATAGGGTGAGGTGACAGAGGGGCGGGCGCAGTGGTTGTGGGTGGATATGTCGCTTACCCTCCCAGGGATGACCGCTGGTCGGTTCTCCGTCGGTCGATGCCGCTGATGGGCGTGTGCTCCCGCGTGATGCCGTGCAGGTGCAGGTATCGCGTCAGTGTCCTCCGCAACTCGTCCTGAGATCGCAATACAGACCACAAGCGCACACGTCCCCTTCTACTCGCCGCTGTAGCGTGTTGCCCACGCACCTTGTCGAGGGAGCAGTGTTCGACGGTGACGGCGAATGTTTTGTTGTAGAAGTGCTCCATCTGGGAGATGGCGTCGAAGAAGAAACTACGGCTGTCAGAATCTGCATAACCACACACCACACCGGGGAGGGGATCAGCACCCCTCTCTGTCATTGGCATGAATGTGTGCACACCTGTGGATGTTCGCGGGGCGCCCCGTGCGTCTGTGGGCTCCTTGACGTCGAAGGCCTGCAGGGTCTTCTCGTCGGCTGTGGCGTCCGACCTGGCTTTGAGCTCGCTCCAGCACACGTCGAAGCACGCCGCTGCCTTGACCGTCTGCGCACACACATCCACACACACATCCATCCATCCACCCTCAGGGGTGCACTAATGGCGTCAAATTCGTTCATCCATATGTGTTTGTGTGTGTGTGTGTGTGTGTCTTGACCTGGAAAAGGATATCGAGGTAGGACTGGTTTGGCCCTGCCCGTCTGATGAGGAGGTCGACGAAGGCCAGATCCTTCGACCTGATCCACTTGACGATCAGCCGCAGCTGCTCGCACAGCCGGGCACGGTTGAAGCCATCCTCTGACATACATGACGCACACAAACCAACAAAGGGAAATCCATGGATAAAGGATAAAGGGCAGTGGGTGAGGTGCACCGCTAGGCCTACCGGGAGCCAGGGGTGTGATGCGCCTGACGCGGCCGATGTCGGGGCCGCCGACCAAGTCCTTGTCGAAGTTCTTGCTGTTCTTCTCACGCATCAGGCACGTGCCGTAGCTCTTGATCAGCGAATCCTCCTCTGCACCACACACACACACACACACACGGCCACATACAAAGGGCAGCGGTTGACACGTGTGTCCGTCTGCGTGCGTGTTTGTGCCGACCGCCCGACTGACCAAGTGAGACACGGACAGTGGCCTTTCTGCCAGTGCTCTTCCACTTGATTTGCAGCTTCCCTCCTGGGATCCGCCTGATGAGCTCCGCAGCCACCTCGGGGCTGCTCACGGGCACCTGCGCCGACCAGCACTCCGACACATGACCCGGCGACACCTCCCGGGGGTACCCCCAGCACCTCTGCAAGCGACCAACCAGCCATGTGTCGGTGGGGTGTTTGTGCGGCTGCCCTGCCATCCAGCCAGCGACTGACCGTGACTTGGTGTGTGGGTATGATGTTGTCTCCGCGGTTGAGGGGCAGGTCGAGTTTGCGGCGGAATTCTTTCTCGAGAATCTCCTCCAGCACAATGGGCCCGTTGTCGACGGGGATGTGGGACACAAACAGGTGGTCGCGCTGACCTGATTGGCGAACACACAAGCATACACACACAGGGGGGCCAGAGGGTCGGGTGAGGTGGTGTGCTGTGCTTACGGTCGCATGCTTCTGCATGTCGAAACTCGTCCTCCACAGCGATCTGCAAGGGCTCGCTCGCCACCGACGTGTCGCTGAGACCCCCCTCGCGAAGCCACACCTGAAGGAAAGGCATACAAAGCCGACTGCCACCTGTCTGTTTGTGTGTGTGTGTGTGTTGGTGCGATGGATCCGCAGCTACCTGCACTTGGAACTGGACGGTCTCCATCGTCAGAGGGATGGACAGCTCCTCTCGCGCGTCGCTTCTGCGTGTGTTGTACACGAGCTCTTCGAACGGCGCGTTGCACTGGTAGAGGTTGCTGAACATGTGGCTGTTGCTGGGGTGCCGGGGGTGCTGGCCGTCGATGAGCCCCCTGATGAGGATGCGGTGCCCCACCGCCCTCTGGGCAAGCCCGAAAGGGATCCGCCAGCTCAGCAGCACACCTCTCGCCACCGGCCGCTGGGTCGCCGGGTCGCGGACCAGCCATGGCTCTGGCGCCACCTCTGGCCGCACCGGACGGTGGCCTGCAGTTCACACGACAGACACACAGAAATGCTGGTTGGCTGCTTGGGTCGCTGGTTGGTGTCGTGTTTGTGTGCTGACTGACCGGCGTCACTGATGGCGTTGTCGACTGTGTCAGCGAGGTAGAGCATCTCGCGGTATATCTCGCCGCACACCGAGATGCTGGGGAAGACGCGGCCCCGCTCCCAGTGGATCGGCTCGGCCAAAAAGTCGGCGCGGTCCTTGGCCGTCCACTCGACCGGCAGCTTCACACACCGACCTGTTTTGGCGCTGTCGACGGCCTCTGCGTGCAGGGCGGCGAGGCGAAGGCAGGCGGGATCGTTGGCCTGGCGCGACAAGGACACAGAGAGACATGCACGAGGGTGCTGAGTGTGGGCGGACCCGCCTGCCCGCCCGCCTGGTCACCTTGAGCTCGGCGTATATCTGGGGTTGGTAGACCATGTTGAGCCAGGCCACAGCTATCTTACCCAGGTTGTCGCTGCAGAAGTAATTGATGAAATACTCCTACACACACACAGTGTCACCAACACATCCATCCATCGATCCATCCACCCACCCATGCGCCCACTTGCCTTGAGCAGCCTCTGTCTCTCGGCGGGGTTCTCAAGTGGGTTGTCGTCCCGCCCCGCCGCCCTCCCCTTCGGCCGCGGCTTGTAGTACTCCGCACCAGGGGGATTGGGCGTCGGCGGAATCAGGCGTTGGTCCCATATCACGTGGTACTGGTCACCTGACAGACACAAAGAGAGACGGAGAGAGAGCGATGCATCGGTGTGTCGGTCGCGCACCATCGAGGTCTGATCCGCTGAGCTCGTTTGGGTGCGGCCGCGAGCCCTTGACGGGGAAGACTATGACGTTGACGCAGTGTCGCAGCTCAGGTCTGTCGACCGCCTCGAAGACGCGTGTGTCGCCGGGGTCGAAGCAGGGGTTCTTGGACACATTCACCCTCCCTGATGACAGACAGACAGACACAGTGGACCATTACACAGACAGGTGCATCTGTGGGGTGTTGATTGTCCTCTCCCCCCCCTCCCCGCCCTCCACACACACACACCCCGACCGACCTGTGATGGTGTGTTCGTGTCCGTCTGGGTCCTTGACCCTCACGTGCACCTGCCCCTCCTCCAGTACTCGAGCCTCGCTCTCGTCAGACACACCATGCAGCACCGCACCTTGCTGTCTCACACAGACAGACAGCCAGACATCACCAAGCCCACGTAGCTGGCTGGATGGCTGTGGGTGCATGGGGCTGGCTGGCTGGGTGGCTGTGTGTGTGTGTATGTTGGCGCCTTACCTCTACGTATAGGTGTGTCTTTGCGAGGATGTCCTTGACGGTGAACCGGCGGATCTCGCTGAGGCACGCGCGCAGGAAGGGCTCGTCGCTCACGTTGAACCCCTGACGCAGAAAGTCCCCCAGCAGCGCCAAGAAGAAGTGATCGCGGCCGAGGTGAGCCAGCATACGCAGCGCCGCACCTGACACATGACACATGACACATGACACAGGGGAGGGAAGAGAATGCCAGCCATTGTGTGGCTGGGTCGGTGGGTGTGGGGTGCGCTGTCTACCGTTGTCGTCAAGCGCCTGTCGGATGTCTGTGAGCATCTCGTCTTTGAGTTGGTGGAAGACCTCTGGCTTGACGGCTCGGGTGAGGAGCAGCGTGATAACCTCCCTGTTGAGATGGAGGGGGATGAACCGCGCGTGGTCACAAGTCTCCAATTGCTGATGGGCGGAACGGTGGGACAGCACGAAAGCGAGCGTCTCCATGTGTGTGTGAGGGCGTGTGTGGTTGTGCCTACGTCATGGTGGGCTTTGAACTTCAGCTGAGACTGCCGGACCGCCATGCGGACACTGAACCACCGGGAAACAGCCCACTCAATGAAGGGACGGTGCCCCCTCACACACACACAGAGGTGTGGCTTACGGCTCTGGGTGTTTCTGCCTGAAGGAGGGGTCGAGTACGATCATGCCCTTGACACCGTTGAACCGAATCTGACGAACACAGAACACCACACCAGGCCAAGGGGACACTTATGACGTGACGGACGATGTGCGGCAGGTAGGTACACACCTGGAAGGCGCAGGGCACATAGTCGATCTTGAGCTCCGTCGCCACCTCCTTGGCAACACTCCTGTCGCAATACCCACACCCATCTGACACAGCCAAAGCCAAGAAGTCAGGAGGGGTCATCCATCCACTCATCCACCCCGCAACGGACCGGTAAATTCGTAGTCTCCTCTGTCTGGGTCGTCTGGGTCGATGGGCGCGGTGATGTCCTTCTCGACTACCCACTCCTCTGGCGCGATCCTGATGGCCTGGCGGGTGGCGCTGAAGCACTGACCCTGACGCGCCGCATACTTGCCTGCAGGTGGGGGTGGGTGACGCACACACACACACAGATGGGTGGGCCAGTCGTATGTGTGTGTATGTTTACGGCCAGACCAGGCATGTCGATGCTCGTGAAGTCGCCCATGAAGGACTCGATGTAGACGAACTCCAGCTGCTCATCTGAATCAACCACACACACACACACACGACCACATCCACCCAGCTGCTCGTGTGAGTGCTGGCTACCCCACCCCCCCATCCCACCATGCTCCTACCTGGCCTGAACATCCAGCAACCGCAGTTGCGCAACTGCGATGACGAGTAGGCCAGCAACTCATACGGCGGCAGACAGGCCAGGCTGATCCCTGAAGGAGCGAGAGAGGGAGGGAGGGAGGGAGGGACAACACCAGCACCTCGGACGCCCAACGTACCCCGTGTGGACATATTTCGAGAGTCTCTACCTACCGTCATCGAGTACCTTCTTCATCCGGTGCGTGACGACTTCGTCCAGCGACGCCTCGTAGAAGAGACGGTCACAGTCCTCCTCTGCAACGAGTGACGGGCAGCAACACAGGAGAGGGCCGTGAATGTGCGGCATCAGTTGTGTCTTTCCTGTTCGCCTCTGCTGACCGACGAACGCGACGCGAAGAAAGTTGTCGGTCTTGTCGCGGAACCGACGCAGCACACTGACGAGAAGACACACACATAGACACAGACAGGGAGTGTCTGTGTCTGTGTGTGGATGTGGCTATGTGTTGTGTTGTGTCGTGTTGCATACCGGTTGGACTGCTCGACGAAGGGCCCCCTGACGTACATCTTGAGTGGCGTGACGTCGACGTGCAGGATGCGCATGCAGTGCTCGGGGTAGTCCATGAGGGTGTGGACCAGGCCCAGTTGCCGCTGACCACGGGCCGCGATCCTCTCAAACTCTGAGAACCCGAAACACCACACACAGACAAAGACAAGAGAGAGAGAGATGCAATACGCGCGTTGGTCTGTTTGTGGTGGCAGCCAGCAGACCTACTACCTTGTTTCGGGTTCATGATGGGCTGGCCGATCTTCTCCATCGCCTGGTACAACACACAGACACACTCCATCCTCCCCTCCCTCCCATTTGTGCGTTGGGCGGTGGTGTGCCGACCGTCAGACAGTAGATTTTGACCATGGGGTCGAGCTGGGCGGCCAGCAGGCAGTCGTTCACGAACGATGGGTCAAGCTGACCACACAATGAATGGCCACAGAAGGGATCGCATCCATCCATCCATCCATTCCCCTCTCTCTTGAACACCGACCCACCGCATTGGAGCCCTGCAGCAGCCCTGCATGTATGACGCGCACAAACACAACAAACACCAGACAATGATTGGTACAGGAGTCGGTGCGTGACGAATTGGTGCTCACCCACCGTTTGTGACCAGCACTTGGTATGAGGCGAAGAGCAGGAAGCCGTGCTCCCCACTCGTCAGCAGCTCCATCGACACACTACAAATCATCAACACACCACACCACAAACCCAACACACGTGTGTGTGGAGACGTGGCCGCCGAGCCGTTTACTTGTCGTCCAGGCCACCGACCGGTCAATGCCCGTGAAGATGTCGTTGACGGATGGGATCTGCAGAGGGGGTGCGTCGGGCGGGAGGTCCTCCTGCTCGGCCCGCGGCAGAAAGGTGGGCCTGTCCTGGTGCAAGTGGACGTAGCGGATGTCCTCGTACGGACACGACGCAATCCCACCAGACCTGCAGGTGGGGTGGTGAATGAGGGAACCGTGCGTGTCGTGTCGTGTCGTGCTGTGTTGGGTGCGGTCGGTGTGGTGTGGTGTGGTCGGTGCGGTGTATATGGCCGAGCGCAACTACCCGTTGTCGCTAGTGGGCAGCAGCCCTGCCTTCATGAGCGACGGTGCGATGTTCTGCTCGAAATGGGCCTGCAGCCATCCATCAAACACACACCGCACCAAGCATGTATGGATGCGTCTGTGTGTGTGTGGGGGGGTGTCAGGCGGGGTCTTCGTCTTACGTGTCGCTTGGGACAGACCACCGTGATGCACCACGAGGCCTCCAGGGCCTGACAAACACACACATTGCTGTGTGAGTCAAGGACCACAGGACTTTCTGTCTCCTTTTGCCCTGCCCACCGTGACGTCCTTGGTGCAGGGGTGGACCGTGACGCCGTCGCCCCACTTGCCACCTTTGCCCTTGCCCTTGCCCTTGCCGGCCGCTGGGTGGGCGTCGTCGCCCCAATCGCTCCCCCACACGCCGTCGTCGGGTCGGCCGCTCGGCCGTGAGGACGACGAAGAAGACGCCCCCATGTTGCCTCGGGGCTTCTTCGGGCCGCGTGTCTGGTCGAACCCACCCTACACACACGAACAGAGAGACAGTACGGGGCGTGTGTGGGAGTGTGGGAGGGTCTGTATGTGTGTTGTACCGGTGGCTGGTAGCCGTCGTGTCCTGTGGTGGTGGTGGTGGATATGATCCAGGGGTCGGTCATGCGGCTGAAGTCGACCCGGTTGTTGGGGCTCTCATCGGGGCGGTCCGACTCGTCCGGGCTGAGGTGGCGGAAGCCGTCGCCGACGTCACGATAGGACAACTGCACCGATCGCACCAATGGATAGAGGGACGGACACACGCACACAAGAGGTGTGTGGTGTGGCGTGGTGCGTGTGTGCGGGGTGGTACCTACCCTGGGTGCTCTCGAGAAGAGGATGACCAGGTGGATGTCGTCATCTTGGTCGGGGGCACTGGCAGGGACCAGGAGCACACGCAGCTGGACATGCTTGAAGGGCCACTCGAGCCGGTAGCACCGGTAGTCCTTGCTGACCACACATACACAGGGAAGGAAGAGGATCACAGCACCATCCATCCATCCACTCATCCGGCGAGGATGTGTGTGTGCTGTGTCTGTGTGTCTCTGTGTCTGTGTGTCTGTGTGTCATGCTCACGTGAATGTTATCCGCAGCATCCTCTGGGTGAGGAGGAAGAGGCAGCCGACCACGCCACGCGTCAAGGCGTCACAGTCCTCCTCATAGTCGTGCTGCACTAAGAGCGAATTCTGCACGCACACACACACACACACACACATGGACGGCCAGCTGGACGGACGGATGAATGGATGGTTGGACAGCTGGACGGTGGTGTGCTTACGGCTTTCCGCAATTGTTTCAGCTCCTTGTACGTCTCTATAAGTTTTTCCTTGACCTGCGCACACACACCACACACCAGCCCACCAACTGCCCCCCTGCTACGACACACGCCCGCAGGTACTCAGTTGTCACTCAGTCACTGACCATGTTGCCGAAGTACAGCCGCGTGCCGAAGAGCGCCGTGGTCCGGTGGGAAGGCTTGGATGCGTCCAGGTCGACCGACAGCATGGCCTGCAGCGGGCCCTCACGCTGGTGGGTCTCCTGGCAGGCGTGCTCTGCCCTGTCACGGCTGTAATACCGGATGACCGCCACGCCATCGCCCGACATCCAGATCCTGGCAGGCACCAAAAAAGCGTTCCAACTTCCCCTCCCTCTCTGCTCTGCGTGTGTGCGTGTGTGCGTGTGTGCGTGTGCGTCATCCAAGAGAGTACTCACTCATCGACGAGTCCATGGTTCTCATAGGTCTGCCGCAACTCCCATGCCGTCGTCCGTGGGTTCAGCCCTTTGACCACCAACGTGCCGGAAGACTGCTCGAGGCCCTGCACACGTCAACAGGCAGCCAAGGGGCAGACAGAATATGGATGGAAATTGCCCTTCTCTCAGATCACAAATCAGTGTCGGTGTGCTCACCCACCTCATGCTCCTTGCGCCAGCTCGTCTGACAGGCTCTGCATGGGCCGCCCTTGACCAGAAACACAGATCCTGCATGACACAGAGACGTCATGGTCCATGGCGCGCACACACACACACAGACGGGCATGAGGAGCATCCCATCCCGTAGGTGAGATCTCACCGTCGATGTCGGCGTACTCATGGTCCGCTGCCATGATTCAATCAACCACAGAAGAGAACCAACATCTACTCATCAGTTCGACTACGGGGCAGCACGATGCAGTGACGGCTAGCTGAGGAGGCCCGTGTGCTGGCGTGCTTCTCTTCGGCTCACGAGAAAAACCCAAAAGCAGACGCGATCGCAGTTCAGTCGAGCTCGCAAATGCGATCTCAAAACCTCCAGGCTTTTTTTCGCGCCAGAGCTTCCAACGACGCACGAGATGATGATGCACAACAGCGAGAACACAGGTTCGTGGCGTGACGAGACGTGGTGACCCGCTGTCTGGCAAGATGGTCAAGTAGCCGCTCCCAAGCAGTGGGGGTGGCGGACAGCCGCAGCAGGGCGTGGAGATTTGTTCCCACGTCGCCGTCGAGAAGACAACGGCGTCAAGACACGTCATTCGGCGTTTCCGACTGCCAGCGGATCTGTGAGTGGTGGTGGTAACTGAGAGAGGCCACGTTGCCGTCCGTGTGCAGCACCCAGCGTCCCTCCCTCCCTCCCCTCCCTCCCCCCTGTGCGATATCCCGCATGTCGATGGGCCTGAGCTTCTCGTCAGGGGAGGCCACAGGCGCCCACCTCGAGCAGCCAGCCGTCGGCCGAGTGACAGACGACATCCTCCCCTCCCCGCCTAACCACCTGACCAAGAACCACTCGACCCGCCCCCCGCTGTCCAACCATCGCAAGCACCAGCACCTGCCCACCACACACGCGACCACCAACAACAACCACCGGCTGCTGCACACGTCGTCACGGTCACGCTCGAGGGCCATCCAGAACCGCCCTCTACCCCCGTCGCGGCCTCTGCGTGCTCTGTCTGGCGAGATGTGCAACGGCGTGGGCGGTTCGTCGTGCTCGTCGGTGGGCGACGGGGTGTGTGAGGATGAGGAGCCGATATATTTCCTGTGGGACCTGGACGAGACTTTGATAACCTTCCAGTGTTTGCTGGCGGAGCAGCCGACGCTGAGGGAAAAATACGGCATCGAGACCAACGCGGGCGCCATTAGGGGCAAAATTAACGCGGTGAGGACCACTCAAGCAACATGTGCACGGCACGGCACACGGAAAGGCACTGAATGGCCCCTCTCCTCTCTCTCTGTCTGTCTGTCTGTCTGTGTGGTGTCAGTATACGTTGAGTGAGTGTATTTTGAGCATAGCGGAACGTTACATGGGTCTGAGTGAGATCGAGCGGCTCGACCTCGTCCCGACAACCTGCCTGGAGTTCAGGGTGCGTTTGCACGCAACACACAGCCGGCCAATCGACACACACACAGCATAACATGAAATCGCGTCTGTGTGTGTGTGTGTGTGTGTGTGGTGTGCAGGCGTATGAGGAGGACGGTGGCACATCCGGTGGTGAGGAGCGGTTCAATCAGTTCATATCACCCCCGCCCTGCCCCAAACTCGCATCACTCACAGAGCAAAACAAAAAGTAAGCAGAAGCGGGCAGATGCACTACACGGGATGGGATGTACCACACATGGCACATGTCCGTCCGTCTCTCCGTCCGTGTGTCTGTGTTGTGTGTCTGTGCCCATGAGCAGGCAGCTCGCGCGGCTCTTCAAGGAGATCCGTCGCGTCTACAGCGCCTACCCCAACGAGGTAAACCTGCCGGTCTTCCACCAGCTGCTGCCCGACAGGCAGCACTACCTCATGGAGAAACACCTCAAGCAGACCACCAGTGCCATCCCACCCATACCCCCCTCGCCCACACCCAACACCCCCACCAACACCGGCAACGGCAGTGGCAAGGGCAATCCTGCCGCCAGCAGCCCCACCACCCGCCCAATCCAGCCGTCCATCCGGCTGCCCAACGGGCTCATTCCTGCGGTGTCTTCCTCCCGGCTGATGACCAAACTCGCGCCCAAGGTCGCGGCGGACGGCCCTGCAGTGCAGCACGAGAGCGAGGACGAGGAGATGGAGCCGGTGGATGCGTCTGTGGTCGATGGGGACGGCTGTGACGGCGACGGCTGTGACGGTGATGGGTGCTGCGAGGGGGATGGGTGCGAGGAGGGGGAGGCCAGCCGTGTGCCGAGGGAGCGGGGCCCCTCGCCGCCCCTCGACCTCGATGCAGCCACGGGGCGGTCGGTCAAGCGGCGGCCGTCCCTTCCCGACTCCCAGATCAAGAAGAGGCGCGTCGACGGCGACAAGATGATGGCCATCATGCCGGCCTCCCACGTCGTCGACCCCGATGACGGCTGGGAGGACCCTTTCGCCCACACCCTCTCCCATGATGGGTGGATCCACCAGGACGCTGAGTGTGTTGACGGTGACGATGACGTCGAGGACGAGGGCGGCCCCAGCACCCCCGACGGCCCCGTCCCCCGCCTCAAGACAGACGTCTTCACCCCCCAGCACCGGCAGAAGGGCGCCGACTGCCCCCAGCGGCTGGCGACCGACTGCTCGATGGCTGACAACGGCACATCAGACGACAACCGGAGTTCCGAAGATGGGGCCGGTGATGCGATGGATGACGGCGGGATGAATCGGGTGCGGCTGCGTGCGGCCATGAGGGCGCTGGGTGTGGGTGGGAAGGTGGTGTTGGGGGAGGAGCAGGGTGCGACGGCGCTGCTGGCGTCGCCCAAGGGTGCCGATTTTCTTGAGAGGTGCACGACCAACGACCTCATGACGCTCATTCGCGCGGGGGACCTGACAGACGTCAAACTGCTCGTCGACTGGTGAGCAACGCCCCGCACACCCGTCAGATGTTGTCTCTCATGTGGTGTGGTGTTGTGCTGTGTCTGTCTCTCAGGATCAACACGGTGTCCCGCGGCTGGATGGACAACGCCCGTCGCGTGCTGACGACACTGACACGGCACTGCAAGGCCCCCGTGCGACACTACATCGTGTCGGCGGGCCAGCTGCTGCCCACGGTTGTGAAGCTGTGTCTGTTCGGCCTCAAGGACCACTTCCCGATCGAGCACGTCTACTCGTCGGCGGCCTACGGCAAGAAGGAGTGCTTCGAGCGCATCCTGGCCGACATCGTGCGCGAGCACAACCACCGGCGGCAGACCAAGGAGCGCCGGGGCGACAGCAGCGGGCGGTCGTGTGGCGGCGGCGGGGGCGCAAGTGTCGACTCCGCATCCTCCGGACACAGCGACGTGAGTGAAACACAAACAGACAGACACGTCGAGCAGAGAGCGCCATGATTGTCATCCCTTGTCCTGTGCCTGCCTGTGTGTGTTGGTGCGTCAGGTGTTGAATGTTCGTGTGTGCGCGATTGGTGACGGTATTGAGGAGAGGGAGGCCGCTCACACTCTTGGAATCGACTTCTATGCGGTAAGGCAGCACGCCAGCTGCCCAACGACCGATCTGCAGACACCTCACACCTTCATGTGTGCTGTGTTGTGTTGTGTTGTGTGTCAGGTTGAGGGATGGCAGGACCTCTACACCGTGCTGCGCGACTTCACCGGCCTCGAGCAAGCGGACCATGAACAAGACAGACCAGGGTAGACAGACGAGCCTCGCCCGCCCCCTGGCCCCTCCCTCTGCCCCTTCTCGTAGATCGGTGTTCCGTGATCATTATTATCATTATCATTGTTATAACCTCTTTGCTCGATCGTCGACCCTTCCATCCATCCATCCATCCAGTCTTTAGGCACTAGAACGTCCACACTACTACTTGCGTATTCGAGTGTCACAGATCAACTGTCTGTCCGGCTGTCAGTTCTGCATGAGAAGTGAAATATCATGTGTGTGGGAGGGGGGGGGAGGGGGCCCTGGGGGCTAAGAGAGGTACTTACAGAGGGATGGGTGGCTTGGGTAAAGGTGAAGGCGTACATGCGAGCGTGTCCTGTGCTCTGACGGATGCAATGGACGGGCATGCTGCTGCTCTCTGTGTCTGTGTGCCTGTGGGTGTGTTGGCGGGCCGGTGGGTGGGGTGCTCCTTGATTGGTTTGTTGTTGCTTCGATGGAATGGATGATACGCACATCCGCCCTGCTTGCCCACCGACCGACCCATCTATCCATGCACTCATCCATCGCACACACGAAGGGACTCATTTGTTTGTCTACTAATCATCGCGTCGCGTGCACTGAGTGTGGTTTTCTTACAGGGAAGCGGGAGGGAGAGGGAGGGGGAGGGGTACATGTGTTGTTGAAAGAATGGCGGGATGGCTGTCATTGCCTGAACAGCTCACCTCACCCACCCAGCCACCCACCGTCGAATGTATGTGTCGATTTTGGCACGGCCCGGCCCGTCCCGTCTCACCGCACTACGCTACACCACACCACACACACACGGGGTAGGGAGGGAGAAAGAAATACAGGCGTGTTTTCCTAGGGTGGGTGGGGGTGCTGATAAGGTACACTACTGACTGATAAGGTCAGGTACGTCACGTCACAACTACAGAAGTGGCTGTTTCCGTCGGTCTGTCTACTCATCACGTGTCACGCGTCAATCGACTGACTGAAGTACTTGGTTTGCACTAGTCGACTTGGGGGTACTTACGCAAAAACCGCGTGTGTGAACGAACGAGTGTGTGGTGCAGGTACAGGGCAGACAGACAGACAGGCAGGGACCAGGGCGTCCATCCATCCATCCATCCATCCATCCACTCATTCACTCAAGTGCGTGTGTAAAATAAAAGTTGGTGGTGGAAACGGTGGGTGTTTGTCCGTGGGGGCGGGGCGGGGGGAGTGGCAGCACTGCGGGCCACACACTGATTTTTGGTTCTTTGCAAAGCAAGTACTGTTTTGAACTGCCGTGCCGGTGGTGTGGTGTCCACCTTGGCCTTCGCATAGGTGCCCTGCTCTGTTTTTGCCTGCAGAGCGGCGGTGACGATGTGCTGGCCGAGTAAGGACTCCGCTCCAACTCCCCTCCACACCCACACACGCCATTGACTACATGTCCGTTGCAAGGGAGAATGTGACAGTGACACCACACCACACACACGGCACACCACACCGACCGCACCACCGCATGCACTCGACTGACTCACCTCACCGCACACCTCGGACTTGTTTGTTCTGTGGCTGACGAACGGGGGATAAGCTGGGCGGCTGGCGTGCGGCTAAGTTACCCTGTTGTCTTGCTACGCGCTGTGCTGTGTTGGGTGTTCCATCTAGTGCACTCCCTGCACTGTGGTCCATCTAAAGGGGCGGGCGTTGATGCTGGGTTTAGGTGGTCGTGTGGGTGGGAGGCCGCGCGTGGCGGTGCTGCATGGCATATGCGGGGGTGTGTGGACCAGTTTTGCACCTTCCATGGTACTATCGCTCAAACATCGTTAGTGCGTTCGGGAAGAAGTCGCAAAACGAGTGCAGATTCCAGCTTGCAGTTGAGCCGCAGCCCCGTGGGCGTGGCCACATGGAGGAAGGAGCACTAACCCACCGACGTGTAACCCAGTCCGGAGCCAGGTAGAAGGATTGTCGACTCATTCCGATGCAGAGGCGATTGCTGCCGCCTTTGCTGGTTGCCCTTTGGCTGGCTTTACACCGCCAGCACGCCTGATGGACGTCAATCAGGTGAGTGCATGACGCGGGAGGGCTCCGGAAGGCTCCCAAGGCAGGGCACAGGGCGACACACGAGCACAGCAGAGAGAATGCAGGCAGAGAAAGCCGCCTTCGCCATGCTTTTGACCACTCTGCTCATGTGTTTTGTGATGGTCGCAGGCCTCTCTGCTGCCGTTCGTTGCGGATTGTGCTTAGCTGCATAAGAGCGGCGCCATGAACGTAGCTCAGGTGAGTGGCGGCCTGACGGGCAGGAGAGGCCTGCATCTCCCATTGAATGACGTGTGTTTCATTCTCTGTGCTGTGTGTGTGGTGTTCAGTTGAAGCGGCAGGCGGCGGGTGTAAAGGAGAGCCTCGAGAAGCTGCTGCAGCTCCACTCACAGGTCAGGTGTGATGTGATGTGATGTGATTGCACCTGACCGGCCCGACGTCACACATTCGTGCCTTTCTTCGTCGCTGGTGTGCATCAGGTTGGTGCTCATCTATCGCAGATCAAGCAGCTGGACCCTGCCACTCACCCTCTTGAGGTACACACCCACACCCTGGACCAGGCAGCAGGTCGAGGCACTTCACTAGATGGTGTGTGCTGCTCCCTCTGCTGCCTGCTTGTCGTAGGCGTCGTCACCTGAGTCGCTGCAGATGCTCGTGCAGCTGTCCCTCGCCGCCGCCCATGTCAACAGTGCCGTCACTCAGCTGTCGTGTGCTGAGTCGGGTCTCTCGGGAGCCGTTGATGCGCTGACGGCCACAGCCATTCCACCACAAGCCAGTAGCTCGGCAGCTGAAGGGACCGATCAACAGCCACAGGTACAGATCATGCAACGCACAGAGTCAGTAGAGAGGATTGTGTCCATGCCCCCCCATGTGTTGGTCGCAGACTCGGCGCCCATCGTATCGTTTGATCCATCGAAGCGGCAACCCTCCCCCGGTCCACAACCAAAGACCTGTAAGGGCCACGCACAGCAATGAGTGCGATGTAATCAGCCCATGGCGTGTTGTTGTCCTGTTGATTGTCACTTCAGGCCCGTCGTCGGCTGTCGCGTGATGAGTTGGCCAATGTGTTTGGCCACCTGCAGCCCTGGGAGCTGACGCGCTACCGCCGGCGTCTCGGCACGCCCCTCTTCCATCAGTCGGCCGCCAACTACACCCACCTGGTCATCGACTGTGAGGACGACACGGCGCGGCGCATGTGGGAGACCATGCCGCTGGCCGTGGCGCACAGATGGGGCAAGAGCGCGACCAACGTGCGAGAGATCAAGCACCGCCACCCCAAGTGGCATGACGAATGGTATTGCGGCACCTGGGTGGCCCTCGTGGAAGGTCATGCCATCGGGCGGGAGGCCATAGCAGAGAAGAAGAGACGGGAGAGGAAAAGAGGGGATGGCACAGCTGACGCTGTGGCGATGCGAGATGGTGACGACCCCAGATCGGCTGACGATGGCACATTGGAGGTGCTGTCATTCGAGCAGGTCAAGCTCGACAACAGCATTGACATCTCCTACCCTCCCCCCTCATCTGATCTGCCGCCCATCCCCACCGCCCCCGTCCACCTGCCCGCACTCAAGACGGTCCGCAACATAGCCAACGAGTGCCTGCTGGCGCGTGTGGGCCGCCAGTGGCGCACACCTGCCGTGAAGACGCTGATCATCAGGGACAGTTGGGCGGCTAGTGGTCTAAGGGCATGGGTGGCCAACTGTGAGGCCGTTGAAGTGCTGGACCCCGCCATTTTGGACGCCAGCGATGCGGTGTATGTGCCGAGTGCGCTGCCCGCTGACGGGAAGTCGTTGGCGGCGCTTCGCACACTGCGCGGCGTCGAGATGAATGGCAGCAGCCCCGCCGGCTTCGACAGGCTGCGTGAGGTGCTGGTGGCGAGGGGCGTCAGCCGGTCCATCCGCGAGCTCGAGATCGGCATGGGGTGGATGCCGAGCACTGACGAGACTGTGGAGCGGTGCCAGAGCGTCGCACGGCTCATGTAAGGACACAACAGAGAGAGAGAGAGAGAGGGAGAGAGGGACAGAGAGAGAGGGGGGGGGCTGCAGAGAGACAGTGCAATTCATTCCTGTGCTTTGCCTTTGATCAGTGACGCCATTGCTCATCCCGAGGCAGTGCAGAAGGGCGTCTTCGCACTCAGCAACGACGGCACGTGTGGACAGATCGACCCAGAGCTCCTCTCGCGCAGCAGCACCGGCCCCGCCGCCGCCCAGAAGCTCATTCGCGACTTCGCCAAGAGAGCCGGCACGGCGACCTACAGCGGAGAGGACGAGGCCCATCCTGCAGCCATCACTGACGACACATTCCCCGCCGCCCACACACTACGGCTGCTGGGTGATGCCCTCGACGATGAGGCCAAGATGGAGCGGGCGGTCGAGATCGCCTCGCACATGCCCAGCCTGTCGTGCGTCAAGATAGGAGACCACCAGGAGCTGGATGCACCTGCTACTGAGGTGTGGCGTTTCCTCGAGCGGCTGCAGGCGGCGCTGGTCAGTAGGGGCAAGGAGAGGAGCCTTTCGGTGGAGATGTATCTGTCACCGAGTGCATTTGTGGAGCCCGTGCACACTGAACGGAGTCCCTGTCTGTGGGGGCGGGGCAGCAACGACAACTTGCCGCCGGTGGAGGAAGTGACGATCACCGTGCTCGGTGAGGGGGTGGGGGCGCAGGGGACAACCAGTAGCCATGGCATCTGTGTGTGTTCATTCACTGTAGGCGGTGTACAGGATGACCACTATGAAACCTTTTACAGTAACGTGATGGCCACGATCACGTCCTTCACGGACGAGCTCAAGGTAGCGCAACACCATACAGCACACAGACACAGCTGTCCAAGGATGTGTGGCTACGCCATTCGCCCTCTTGGGTGAACGATAGGGTCACAAGAAGACCTGTGTGGAGTTGCTCAATTGTCACCTGCGCACCGACTTCCAGCGGCGCTTCATGGCGCAGCAGGCCGGCCTCAGCCTCCTCAGCGGCGGGCCCTATAAGCTCAGCCTCGATGTCTGCGGGCTGTGTGTCGAGCGCCGCAATGCCGCCACATAGGTCGACACACATCACACACACCACAACCCACGACGTGCCTTGAGTGTCTGTCTGTCTGGCTGTGTGTGTCGCCTATCAGATGGTCACTCGGCGGCCCATGAAGGTTGCTGAGACAGCCGTAGATGGATGCTGCTGTGAGACAACGCCTTGACGGTTTGCAGTGTAAAGCGGTGGGGTGGGGTGGAGGACAGCTAGATGAATGAGTGACTGGTTAGCGGGAACGGAGGGCTTCCCTTGCAGCCACCACGGCCCACAGTGGTTGGCTGTGCGGTGCGTTGCTGTGTGGTTGCTGAGAGCTTCATGCGTGTGCATGTCGATGGTCCATACATACATACCTGACTGAGTTGCTGTGAATTAATGCCTGCGTCCTCCAGATCACACACATGGATGTCTTCACTGGGCACCAATCAGCCAGCCGGTGGGTCGGTCAGTCAGTCAGTCAGTCACACATGGACACACCAAAGCAATTCGCTTTCTTGGGAAACGGACTTTTTCTCAGCGTGAAACGGACTTCGGTGTGGGCTGGATGAATGTCATCAGATGCCTCAGATGACTCAGCGGACCCTCCTGTGAGACACCAATGGGCCTTTGCTGCCTCGCGTGAGAGCGTGACTCAACCTCGGCAAGCAAACTCGCCTTTTCGGTCGCAAATCGCCATCGAGAATGGTTCATCTTCTGACTATCAAATGCCTTTATTTCTCCATGGAGTCACTCTTTCATCGTTCCGCTCTTTCACAGAGGGGTGCTTCATGTGTCTTGCGGGCATTTTGAGCCATGAAACGGTCGGTTTGGATGGCTGATGAGTGAGTGATTGGTTTATGCGGTTCATTTTGCTTGTGAATAGAGTGATCGGGATGGGCTGATTGCTTGACGGAAATGATTGCTTTATGTGGTGATTGCTTTGTCACATGAATGAGACACGCGATAAGCAACCGAGACACGATGAGAATGAGCGATGGTGGTGTGCTGTGCTTCTCTCTTATGCCGCTCTGTACTCCTCGATCACTCACTCATACATAAACATGCGTATACAGGTGACTGCTTCACTCACTAAGGGAGGGTCGACCCACCTGCTTGACGGCCCGTCAAGCAGGTGGGTCGACCCTCCCTGTACACATTACTCAGTCAGAATAAAAGAGTCAAGCCGTTTACAGGGAGTAATCACCCAGCCCGCGGGGCATCATCCCAGCAGCTTCAGGGTGTGGGCGGCGGGGAATGTGTCGTCGGTGATGGCTGCAGGATGGGCCTCGTCACCTCCGCTGTACACCACGGTGCCGGCTCTCTTGGCGTGCTCGCTGATGAGCTTCCCGGCGGCGGGGCTGCCGCTGCTGCTGCGCGAGAGGAGCTCCGCGTCAATCCGTCCACACGTGCCGTCGTCGTTGAGCTTGAACACGCCCTCCTCCACTGCTTCGGGATGCGCAATGGCGTCACTGATCGAAGGCAAAGCACAGGAATGAACGGCACCGTCTCTCTTGAGCCCCTCTCTCTCTCTCTGTGTGCGTGTGTGCGTCTGTGTGTCCTTGCATGAGCCGTGCAACGTTCTGCGAGCACTCCACAGTCTCGTCAGTGCTCGGCATCCACCCCATGCCGATCTCGAGCTCGCGGATGGACCGGCTGACGCCCCTCGCCACCAGCACCTCACGCAGCCTGTCGATGTCGGCGGGTCTGCCCCAATACATCCGGACGCCGCGCAGTGTGCGAAGGGACTTCAGCGTTTTCCCGTCGGCGGGCAGCACACTCAGCACGCCGGCCGTCTCGTCAGCGAGGTTGAGCACCCCAATGGAATCACAGTCACCCAGCCATGCCCTCGCACCCTGGACCTCTGACGCACCAAAATTGTGGGGGATGAGCGTCTTGACGGCGGGTGTCCGCCACTGGCGGCCCACGCGAGCAGCCAGGCACTCTCTGCGTATTTTGTCGACCGTCTTGAGTGCGGGCAGGTGGACGGGGGCGGCGGGGGCGGGCGGCAGAGCAGATGAGGGGGGAGGGTCGGAGATGCGGATGGTCCGGTCGAGCACAACCCGCTCGAATGACAGCACCTCCAATGTGCCCTCGTCAGCCGACCGACCGCCGTCATCATCTCGCCCAGCCGCGGCAGCAGCCGCCCCCTCCCCGCCCTCCCTCTCCCGTCGCTTCTTGTCTGCGATGGCCCCCCTGCCGATGGCGTGACCCTCTACTAAGGCCACCCAGGTCCCGCGACACCATCCGTCTCGCATCGCCGGCCAGCGGTGTTTGATCTCTCGCACGTTGGTCGCCCTCTTGCCCCATCTGAGTGCCACGGCCAGCGGCATGGCCGCCCACATGCGCCGCGCCGTGCCGTCCTCACAGTCGATGACCAGGTTGGTGTAGTTGGCTGCCGACTGATGGAAGAGGGGCGTGCCGAGGGGCCGGCGGTAGCGCGTCAGCTCCAAGGGCTGCAGGTGGCCGAACACGTTGGCCAACTCATCACGGGACAGCCGACGACGGGCCTGATGTGTCAATCAACAGGACATCAAAGTAAGGTCAAGATGGTTTCGATGTATCAGATCTGTCAGGTGTCGGTCTGACCTGTCCTTGGTTGTTCACAGGTGGAGGGTTGCCACTTCGATGGATCAAACGATAGGACGGACCACTGGCCACAGATGCCTGCCGAAAAGAGAGCAAGAACAACACAGACATAGAGAGTGTCGTGCTGCGGCCATCTGCTGTGCGCACCTCGGCATCATCCTGAGTGGCGGGATTGGGTGCGGCCGCCAGGATCGGCTTGAGTGCATCCACCACCCGCGACACGTCCTCATGTGTGCGGGTGAGCTGCGACTGTGCTGTGGCGATGTGGGAGCTGACGAGGGCACGCTGCACATGAAGCTCAAATGAGCCGGCCGACGGTGCCTGCGAATAAATCGACAGCAGCAATGTGCGAGAGCGATGCAGCAGTGTGTGTGACGTACCTGTCCAGAGAGGCCGGGAGGCTGCGCTTGCTCAAAGTGAGACCGCACCGCGCCAAGCTGCACGACAAAGACACATTCACAGAGTCGATGACTCTTTTCGTGCAGGCAGGCAGGGCAGGCACACCGCTGTGTTGAGCTCTTGAAGGTGCCGCAGGCCCTCCTCGACTGCCCGCGTACCCTCCCTGACCTGCACAGTCACACACGAGAATGGACGACAATCATGAGATCTGATGAAACGAATCTGTCCGTAGCCGTTGCTTGCCCACCTGATGCACATCCATGATGCTGACAGGCTTTTTGAACGAGGAAACGACGATTTTTTTCGTCGGGGAGCTCGCCAGATCGGGCATCGCGGAAAACGGGCAGAGTTTGACAGACCAACGAAGCCGGAGTCCTCCTTTACACAATGTTGCTGAGGTGTGCTTGCCCCCTTCTGGCCGTCTCTTCGCTTCTCCAATGCGGAGCACTCTCCCGCAGTCTCCACACCTCGCCCGGCGGCGCGATGGAGGCCGCCTTCTCGATGTCTGTGGCTCAGAAGGACAAGCGGGCAAAGCCATCGCCCCAGGCGCGTCGCCAGCTGGACCCTTCGCCGCATGACAGGGGAGTTCAAGGAGCGCTGGGACCGTCGCTGACGAGCCTGGACAGCCAGCGAGATCTGCGGCTGATCTACAACCGGCTGCAGCCGGAAACGCAGCCCAAGACAGATCCCCTCGACGCCCTCTTTGGCAAGGCGATGGCCATCACGCGGGAGGAATTTGTCAAAGTAAGTGAGTCAAACGACGCTATCTATGACGCTATGGTTGCCTGCACCTGACTGTTGTCATGTGGTGCAGCTGGTTCCAGGGCTCGAGTACTGCCCGCCTCCCATCCAGGAGGGCGAGCCGGAGTTCTGGGACGAGGTGGACGAGACCAAGTCGCAGCTGCACATACAGTCGGCCGAGATGCTGCGGGAGGACGGACCCATCAGCACCAAGGCTCTCAACGGCGTATTCGACGCTCTCTCGGGTGGCGCGGAGACCCTCGACAAGGTCACTGTGCAGAAGCGCCTCGCGCAGTGGGGAGCCAAGGGTGAGTGAACTGGGACAACCGTGCAGGCAATGAGTTGCATTGCCTGCCAGATCACTCTCCCTGTGTGTGTGCGTGGATGGGCTGCTGCAGGTTCTGATCAGTTTGCTGAGCGGATCGAGTCGGCGTTGGCTTCGATGAACACGACCTCGCCCATTCTGATCAGCGGGCAGAACGTCTATGTGACGCCGGCGATGCGCAAGTACGTCGACACCAAGATCGGCAATGTCATGGAGCGGTTCCACTCGTGGATTATGCAGGTGCGGACACGCCCACACCCACACCCGCAATCACAACAGGGCCTTTGTCCACGTGTGTGCGTGCTGTGTGTTGGTGTGCAGGTGTCAGTGAAGCTCTACGAGGAGTCGAGGGCTTTGGAGGGGTCGCGCAAGGTGCCGGATCGGTTTGTGTGTGAGGTGATTGTCTATCCCAAGGGCAGCCACAGCATCGAGGTCAGGGCCAAGGGCGAAAGCATGTACGCCGCCATCGACGTCGCAGAGACGCAGATAAACAGACAACTCAGCAAACACAAGGTGGGCGGGGCGGGGCGGGCTTCGTCAGTGGCCATGGGAGCAGCACAACACACACATGAATGAGTCCCTCTGTGTCTGTCTGTCTGTCTGTGATGGCCATTTGTAGGAGAAACGATTGCGTGACAGGCTGAAGAGCGGGTCCATTCTCGTCGGCGAGACACCCGGCTCACCCACTGCAGTCGAGAATAAGGACCCTGAGAAGGTAGCGTAACAAAGCGGTTAATCGACGACTGAGGCTGGATGAGAGATTGGCCGACCTGGACGTGTGTGTATGTGTGTGTGCAGATTGTGGAAGAGTCGGTCATGGAGGATCTGGCAATGAACGAGGTGTATGACGAGGGCATCCCGCCCCCAGGGCCTGTCGATGTGGCCGAGGAGGCAGACGGCGGCATCAGGGTCTGCACCCCCACCCACCCACCCACCCACATGGCATGGATGTCGAATGAACCCCATATCGCTTGTTCACTGTGTCTGTTTGTCTGTGCTTGCGATTGATTGCCAGGTCGAGCGAGGCATCCCCCTTGCCGAAGCTGAGAGCATGGTGCGTCCCGTACACCGACACACACACACACACACACAGATGGACACGACACCTTTACGGATCGGATCGTGTGTCGGTGGGTGCGGTGCATGCAATGCAGGGCATGACGTCATGGCCGACATGGAGCTGCGATGCCAGCACTTTCCCATGGAAATACGACCAGGAAGAGACGTGCTACATTCTCGAAGGTACACACACCCCACCCCCACCCCCACAGACACAGACACACGTGCCATGCACCTCTCTCTCTGTCTGTGTGTGCAGGTGAGGTCGAGGTGGTGCCGATGACCCCCACTGGGGAGGGCAGGCCCGTCAAGATCACCGCGGGCGACATCGCCATCTTTCCCAAAGGGCTGGGGTGCACCTGGAAGGTCACCAAGGCCGTCAGGAAGCACTACCAATTCAAGTGACCCCACCCACCCTGGAAGCCAATCTTGGAGAAGGGATTTGTCAACCGACGGGAGAGAGGGAGAGATGGACAGACAGACAGTACACTACCGTGTACGCAACGCATGGCGAGAGAGAGGATAGGGGAGAGGGGCGTGGGTGGAGTGCAGTGCAGTTGCCGACCTACCACTACTACCAACCACTGAGCTCTTTTTCGGATTGATTGATTGATGTAACATGGCAGGCAGGTCCAGGGGGTGGGAGACTCACACGAGGGGCAGGGCAACGAACGAACGGTGAGGGGTGCGGTGTGGTGTGAGGCCTTCTTTCTTCTGTGTCTGTCGGTCTGTGTCTGGGATGGGAACAAAGTGCGGCCGTGCCGGTGGGTGTTGGGACGGAACGGACAAGACGGAATGGGGTCGTCTTGATTGATACGCTCACTGTAGGCGCTGGTTGATACGATAGACTAGGTGGGCGGGCGTGTGTGTGTGTGTTTTCAGCACACATTAGCTGCTGACTGAGCGTCCAGGCATCAGTAAGTCAGGCTCACATACTGCGCCTGCTTCTCTGCTCCGTCCGCTCAAAGGGGCTGGCTGGCCAATGTGCTTGATGTGGTGGACGGACGCCAAGCCTGACTTGACGTGTGCGTTGGGTGCCTGCCTGAATGGACCTACTCAGTGGTGGTTGCTGAATCAAGTGACTGACAAGGGAGGGAGCATTGAATGAGTGAGGCGGGGAGGGGGAAGGGGATGAGTCTCTGACACACACACACGCGGACACGGCACCTTGTATAAAGACACGGCACACACACACACACACACACTCTCGCACTCAGTGAATGCACCGCTCGGCGAGGACAGGACCCCCAGCCGTCGAACCATCCTACAGACAGACAGACATGAGGCCCCCTGCTCGCTCGCATGGATCACAGAATCGGCTTTCCAGGCCATATCATATGATATGGCTTCCTGTCTTGCTTGCAACAGATATGGACAGTCAGAGAGAGAGAGTAAGTCAATGTAGGTAGAGAAAGAGTACGAACGATCAACGAGGGAGGCGACAGACACCAAACGAACCACCACCTGACACAGATAGATCTCATCGCATAAGTAAGGAATGCATTGCATCCGATTCGGTGGCAAAAATGGTCACGAAAACACATACAGAACACAAACAACCCACTAGATGACCACGCCCCCCCGGCCCCTCACAGATGCATCGCATCAGTCCACCATTTACCACACCGCAACACCCACACCCACACGCACGCCATGTCACAAGAAGCAAGCAAGAAGGAGGAAGAAGCCATCATCGATGGCCCCACGAGAAGCCCCTCAGCCAGCCAGCCAGCCCAGCCAGCCTGCGCGAGAAAGGTGTCGAGACAGGCTGAGTAATAGAACCCAGGGAGGCATCCATGCAGGCGAAAGAAGGCCGCACACACACCCACACACACTCGCACTCACCGGACGGCCAATGCACTCAGCAGCACACACATACAAATAACACCAAACGATCGATCACTGTCCCTCTCTCCGTCTGTCTGCTGACCTACACACACCCGTCCACACACTCAGATGAAACCACACACCCACACACATCACATAGGTCCCTCATGCATTCATTTTCCAAAATACGAAGATACATACAGTCAGCCAGCAGGCAGCTCTCTGAGTGCATCTCACCTCTCAGCTTACTTACCCCTACGCGTGTGTGTGTGTGTGTGTGTCTACATCCTTCCTGTGTGTGTGAGGGTGTGGGTCGGTGAAGGTGGGGGTGAGTGTAGTGAGTGTAGTCGATTCGATGTGTGTCATGTGAGCGCGTCGCATCCGCCCGTCTACAAAAACGGGTCGGGCTCATTGCATTGCGCGAGAGACCTCCCCTCCCTTCCCCTGCCCTGCCACACCATACATACCAACCAACATGCCATGCATCTCTGTCTGAGTGTGTGTCGTCACAGAAGTACACACACATTACAGACAGACAGACGGACAGATTTCATCCTTCCTTGTACGCCTACGGAAGCCCACACCCCACCCCCGAGCCCACCCACCGGAATGTCTCGTGTCGATGACATTATGTGTGTGGGGGTATCTTACAGCCAGCTGCCTGTCTGCCTGTCTGTCTGCCTGCCAGCCGGCCAGCTACTGAGCGGACCGACCACCAGGCCAGAAACAGTCACCACACCACACCACACCCCCCACCCACCCTCCGGCTCCCTTTATTCAACAGAGGTACCGACCAACAACCAGCAGCGACAACACATACAGATGGATAGCTTCACCAGCAAAATCTCCCCTCTCCCTCCCCCCCTCCCCCCACCACTGACTACAGCTCGTCCGTCCTCGTGATGGCCGGCGGGGTCAGGCTGCCAACGACCGATGAGGCGTCCCTAAAGCCGTCGAAAATGCCGCTGTCAGGGGGCGTGTTGGGCAGCTGAGACGTCAGCACCCTCTCGGGCGTCACCTCCCTACTGCGGGCCGACGGGCTCCTCAGGAACTGCTGGGCGCGGCTGCCCCACTCCTTGAGCTTGGTCGATAAGCGGTTGCCGCTGATCTGACGCGCAGCACCGTGCTGCTGCTCGTTCTTGCCAGGTGGCAGGGAGAGCGACACGGCCTCGGCTGGGAGGGGCGCGGGGGAGGTGACCAAGGACACGGGGGCGCTCTCGGCCGCTGACACCGGCTGCCCTGACCAGGCAACCAGGTCGCTGTTGCTGAGGCTCTCCTGCATACCGCCTCGGATGCCGAACGTCCTTCTTCCGCCACTGTTGGCCGTCGTGGCCGTGGCGAGAGCTAGGTTCCCTTGGCTGCCCCCAGGGTCACGCAGCACGAATCTCTGGTGCAGCCTGGCTCGTTCGCTGTCGACAGGGGGGATGGGGGGGTAGAGAGGGGCTATGGGGTTGGGGCTGGCGCCGGTGCTCTTGTTGCGTGTGACGGGCGTGCCGGCGGCGGCGGCGGCGGCCATGGCGCTGAAGGAGAGGGGGTAGGGGAGCACCTTGGTCAGGTCCTTGCCGGCATTGCGGGGGGCAGCTGCAGACCAGACAACCCAAACGACGTTTCGTGAGTGAGTGCTCGTTGGGGGGATGGATGGATGGTGGGCGGGTGCTTACGGTCAATCTTTGGCGGCCACTCGTCTTTGGCTTCGTCGAATTCCATCCAGAACTCACTGCACACACACAGACACAGCCGCCGAGACAGCGGATGAACATTGGGTGGGCGGATCGGATCGGTCTTTCGTCCGTGTGTTCGCTGACTGACTCACCAGTTTCTGTTGAGGTTTTCGACGCAGTCGTGCTGCACCACCTCCGAGCAGTAAAACTCGTTCATCTGACACACACAGCAGCAGAGAGGAAACAGAGGGCGTCTATCTGTTGCACACACTGGTGTCTGTGCGTGTGTTGTGTAGGTGGGTGGCTGGCGGACCAGGTCGTAGACGGGCTTGACGATGTACTCGATAAACCCGACCTGACTCTCCCGCAGATCGAGATTGTTTCGGTCACACAGGGGGCTCACCGGCAGACCCAACTGCACCACATACCACAAACAGCACACCCATGCCCTCACTCGGCGTGTCACGTCTGCTCCGTCTGCTCCCTTACGGATTTCTCCTTGTCGCCCTGGTTGTAGAACTCCTCTATGACCCGGGCCGTCCACTGCTTGTGTAGAGCGAGGGGCTTGGCGGCGTGGGCGATGTCGGCCGCGCGGAGCATCATACCCAGCACCGTGCGAAGGTCAGACAGCTCGTGCACCTTCCAGCCTGCAGACCAAGACACACACCACACCACACCACAGCAAAGGTGTGTGTGTGTGTGTGTGTGTATTGTGCATTTCACCTCTGGCCATAGAGTTTTTGAATGTGGTGGTGGTGAGGAAGTGGCGCTCGATGTCTGTGTCGAGGACGGCCTCGATGATGATCTGACGCAGCACCACCTGCTTCTCAACCGGGAAGGCCGACAAGATCTGCACGATTTCCGAGGAAAAGAACACATTAGAGATATGAGTATCCTGTGGCTGCGTGTCCTGGGTGTGCGTGTGTGGTCGGCTGACGTTGCTCGGTCTGAGCCGCATGACCATGAAGGCGATGCAGCCTGATGGGAGATGGGAGAGGGGCACAGGGGGAGGGAGAGAGGGAGGGAGGGAGGGGTCAGCTTCGTTTGTTGTGGCTCGTTTCGTTTCACGTGTGGCGGGGTGGCTTACAGTGGAGGTTCTCGTGGACACACTTGTCGTTGAACAGCAAAGCCTGCATCGTATTGGCGTTCTTGTGGTAACTGCAGCAGCACACACACACACACACACAATCCACCCTCTCCCCCTCTCCCCCCTCCCTCTCTCCCACTCACTTGTTGGTCCTGCCATTGTGACCAACGTCATGTATGGCGGCCGCAATGAGGATGGCAAAGCCATAGGCAGGATCGACGTTCCAGTCGAGGGCCGCACCGCAGACCTGCTCCCGCTCTCTGCTCTTCTCGTCGATGGGCGAGGCCCCAGCGATGGTCCTCGACCGCCGGGCCGCCAGACAGGCAGTGGACGGCTGGGGACGACAGATGTCGAGGGACCCGACGTCACCCAGAGAGGTCGTCACAGTGGCGGCAGAACCCCTGCACCACACACAGACAGAGACAAACACACAGACACAGACACATGGGAGTGTGCTTAGTTAGTTGGGGTGGTGTGTTGGAGTGTCTGACTGACTGACCCTGATGCAGTGGCGCTCGCTGTGGTGGACGAGGTCAGCGGTGAGTTGAGTTGCATGACGGCAGGCGATGTGTGTGGTGGTGGTGGGTTGAGTGGGGTTGCGGGGCATGACGCCGCCGTGGGAAACCCCCCGTTTTGGTTCAACAAATCGCACGACCGATCGAATTGGCGGAGGAAGTAATAAGTCGAATTCAGCACGTCCGCACCTACAGGCAGGCAATGACATACGGTGTCGTCGACAGTTTCTCATGTGTGGGCGCGCGCGCGCGTGTGTGTGGTTGGTTGGTACCGTGAATTGCGTTGTGGTAGAAGTTTTGTCTGTATCTGACTTCGATGTTGCTGAGGAAGTTGGAGAGCTTGTCGTGGCTCACACCCAGCTTGTCGGCCCACGGCCGCAGCAACCAGTAGCCAGCGTGGCACAACGCACGGCCGCCGGATGCTGCACATCACACACACACACACACACACTCTATGTCAGGTGGGGGGTGCGTCTGCCATGGCCATGTGTCTGTGTGTGTGATTGTGTCAAGTACCCTTGTCAACTTCGAACAAGTCAGCCTGCCATGTGCCGAGCTGGGAGTAGGTCGACTCGTCCTGACGCGCCGACACGACCGACCAACACGCAACAGACGTCACTCATTGCACAGCTGTTATGTGCCGTCATCCCCTTCCCCCTTCCCCTCCCCGTCGGCGTACCTCTGTTCTCATCCTCGGGATGCTCACATCAGGCTCCCTCTCTGCCAACACACGCAGAGCAGACACACACCCCAATCACAAACCCAGGCGGAATCTGCCGTGTGCCTCACTCCCTCCCTCGTGTGACCACCGGACCTCTATAGTGCAGCGGACAGATGAGGTGCTCCAGCAGCTGGTGCTCCGTGTCGAACTCAAACGACCCCCGACTGGTCGCCACACTCGTCCCCCGGCTCCCAGCGTCGCTCCCAGCGGTGGCCCCAGCGGTGCTGCCGTCTGTCGTGCCGCCCGCGGGCATGCTGTTCGAGTGCGAAGGCTGCCCGCCAGTGGACTGGTTGGGCGTGATGTCGGTGTCGGACCGCTCGGAGGTCTCCACTAGGGTGGGCAGACGGCTGGTCGTCTGACGGCTGCGCTCTGTGTACTCATTCAGGAAACTGACACACACACACACACACGGGGGAGGGAGGGAGGGCGTGTATGCGTGTGTGGTTGGGGCGTTCATGCCTGCGTGTTTACCGAATCATGTTGGATGAGCGCGAGAGGCCGGGAATTCCCCCAGCGGACCGCGACAGCTCCGCAGAGATGTCAACACTGAACGCGAAGACGCACACAGAAACGAAGCCGCATCAGCATCAGCAGTTGTCCTCCCTCCCACTGTGTGTCAATCTGTTTGTTCATCATGGGTACCTGAAGAGGTTCTCGCCAGATCGAAGGTCGTCGATACTCGACGTGAGCGATTCGACGAACTTCTGCCAGTCGAGCGCGGTGACGAGCTCGTGGAGCGGCTCCTGGCTGCCGTTGGACGGCACGCCCTCATGGTGGCCACCGATGTGCGCTATCTGAATGACCACGGAGACGGAGGGAGGGAGGAAGGGAGGTGGCAATGATGCTCTCCGTCTGTTGGTTTGCTGGTGCGCGTGCGTGAGCTGCCTGCTGACCTTGACGGCTTCCTCCAGCCCGACTTTGACGTAGTTGAGCTTCTCCAGAATGTTCTCAAAGCGAGTCTGGAAGTGCTTCTGCTGCCTGATTGACACAGCCACACACACACACACACACAGAGAGAGAGAGAGAAAAGGGTCAGCGGCCATCCATCCATCCATCCATCCATTCGGCTCACTTTCTTGACTCCATCTTGTGCAGCTTGTGTGTGAGGTACTGGACGCGTTTGTTGAGCGACGACCGCTCTATGGCGTGGTTGGCCTTGTCGCGCTCGTGCCGCTCCTGCGTCTCACACAGGTGCTCGTTGAGAGCGTGCACCTGGTACGTCCCCAGCACAAGCAGCCCGACCGAAAACAGCATAAACGTCACATCACCTGAACACACACACACACACGGACACACACATTCATGTCGGCTGCTACATAGATGGCAACACACACAGACACACACATGCCGGCCGTCACACATACACCCACATCCATCCATCCATCCAGTCTGTTCTTACGGGGCAGCTCGGCTATCTGCTTAGCAAGCATGTCAGCTATCTGCTTACGCAGCAGTTCCTGCTCCTCCCACAGCAGCCGGCTCTTCCCGTGGATGTAGGCAGCCACATAGATGACCGCCCAGCTCACCACCATCCACCCACACAGGTACAACGACAGCCGCTTCTCGAGCTGAAAGGCCAGCACGGCTCCGAACATGAGCACGACGCAGAGGAAGATGGCGGTGCTGTCGGAGGTGTCGGGCCTGAAGTCCTGGTCGGGGACGGTGTCGAAGAAGATGACAAGGCGGTTCTGCTCCACCATGAAGATAAAGGGGAAATGCAACACGTATAACGATGTCAACACCTGATCATATCAGACACACACCCAACCGCACACAGACATGGAAAGAGGAAGACGCTTCTCTCTCTCTCTCTCTCTCTGTGGCGTGTGCGTGTGTGTGTGTGTCTGTGTGACTGACGATACCATGGAAGATTTCCGTCTGAAGCATTCTTTCGCCCAGTCGGCCTTCCACAGCATGCAGAGAATCCACCCAAGGATGATGGCGATGAGTATGGCGCGGTACATGAGCACGAAGTAGAGGATGTCGATGCTGTCCCACTTGACGTAATACCAGTAGATGTCGAACCCCATCCACACCAGGTTGAACACCAGGTACACCCAAGGGATCAGACGCCGCCACCGAGAACGGTTCTGGAGCAGAAACTCCTTCTTGTTTTGGTCACGATTCACGCGAAACGCTGAAAAGGGACAGACAGATGGACACACACACACGTTGCACAAACGGTCTCTGCCACAGCTCTTGTGAAGGCATTCTGGAATCTGCGCTCACTGGAGTCAAAAATCCTCATTGCCGCGACTATAGACCTGGACCTTCTTGGCGCATTCCTCTGCTCGGAGGAGGGCGTGACCTCCAGCTGCCCAAAGTCCGATATATAGCTGATCGAGTGCTGCAGGTTGACGGTCGAGGGGGCTATCGACAAATCGCTGACAGGGATGTTCTGCTGCGACTGCGACTGAAAGGGCTGGGAGGGGGGCGGGTGCAGCGCCACCACAGGCGCAGAGCGGTGAGAGCTGCGGGGGGACGACCTGCTGGGCGAGCCGGGGGACTCGTCGCGGTGGTGTCTGCTGTCATGATGGTGCTGATGGTTGGCAGGCTGGGAGTGGGAGTGGCCGGAGTGGCCTGAAGAAGACTTGGGTGGTCTGAGGTGTGTGTTGGTGGGGTCGCTGGCCGACGGGGGGATCTGTGTGTTGTTGCCCATCACCTCGTCATGGTTGTCCATGCTGAACGACACGCGACGCTCGGACTTGCTCGGCTGCGGGGGCGGGTGGTTGCGGTGGGGGTGATTCTCACTCATCGGGCGAGGCCGAGCCACGATGGGATCCGATAAAGCTGATGCCGATGGGATGGCTGGCAAGGGTGCGGCGCATGCCACACGCGCACAGCCGAGGAACGTCCCAAAACCCTTCCTGGACTCTGAGCTGATCTCGGCAGCTGAGTGCGGCGCTGGCAGCGGCGGATCTACGACCGCTCCTCCAGCGGCCTTGGCAACGCCATCTGCTGATTGTAGGTGCTGATCTTCGTTCTCGAGTGAATGTGCTCGCGGATCTCCAGATTCCCGAATAACACGAATCGTGGTTGGCTACGTGTTGAGGTCGGTACGCCACAGTCACTGACGCAACAGCATCCTTCTGCGCGCCACTTTTTTCCTTCGCCGATCGCGCAAGAAAAGCGCGCACTGTCCAAGAGGAGTCTTTTGGCTTTGTCGTGGCTGTGGTTGTTGGGGCGAGCCTGATGAGCCACCTGTGAAGTTTTGGTTGTTTCTGGTTGCGTGAGTCGGGATGTCGTCTTCGGCCAGCAGCAGCACGACGCCTCACAGCGCGAATCTGCGGCTGCTCGCTGACTTCAGATCGCTGCAGAGTGATGCGCCAGAAGGCATCTCCGCCAGGTGAGCAGACACAGACGAGGGGCGACACAGAGGGAAAGGTGGACGTGTGTGGCTCCTGGCTGATGTGTGTGCCCTCCCTTGCTGGTTATCCCCGGCGGCCTCAGTCCTGTCAGGTGGGCAGGGGAGGCCGAGGATGGGATGCTTGTGATGTGCACGGAGAGAACTGCGACATTCTGTTTGTTTCGTGTGGTGTGACTGACTGACATTCAGTGATGATAATATGTTCATCTGGGAGGCTACGATTGTTGGGCCGGACGAGACGCCATGGGAAGGTGCGCAAGGCAAATGATCACACACACGGCCAGCCACATGGTGCAGGGCCATCAGTGACCATTCTCTTCCGTGTCCGTCTCTGTGCTCCTGCCTGTTCAGGCGGCATCTTTTCGTTGACGATTCGCATTCCTCCCAACTACCCCGACCGGCCGCCGAACGTCAGGTTCACCACAGAGATGTTCCATCCCAACGGTATACAAAGAGGAGCCGCCAGAGACGAGAGTGGCGCGGATGCGTTGTGTGCCGTGTGCCGTGTGTTGTGTGTTGTGTTCAGTGTTTGAGGACGGCAATTTGTGTCTGGACATCATTCAGGACCAGTGGAAGCCCATCTACACCATCGGCACCGTACTCACCTCAATACAGGTAGGTATACAGACACCGACACTCACACACGCAGAGGGCGTACGAATTTGATGATGTGTGCTGTGTGGTTTGTTGTGTCCCCCGCCCGTTCATCCACACATCCATCCATCAGTCTCTGTTGACTGACCCGAACTGTTCGTCGCCGGCGAACACGGAGGCAGCGAAACTCTTCCAGAAGGACCCAAAGGAGTAAGACACTCACACACAACACACCACCCACAATGACCGTGTGTGCACATGTGCTGTGTCTGCGTTGGTGCCTGTGTGTGTGTGTGTGTCAGGTACGCCAGGAAGGTCCGGAAGTGTGCTCAGAAGAGCGTGGGCATGTAGACAAACCTGGGG